CTCCTGCCTCAGCCTCCCGAGTAGCTGGGATTACAGCCACCATGCCCAGCTAATTTTTTGTATTTTTAGTAGAGACGGGGTTTCACCATGTTGACCAGGATGGTCTTGATCTCTTGACCTCGTGATCCTCCCACCTCGGCCTCCCAAAGTGCTGGGATTACAGGCTGAGCCACCACACCCGGCCCTACTTTAGAGTTAAAGACACAAATAGGTTGAAAGTAAAAGCAAGATCATGCAAATAGTAGCCATAGGAGAGCTGGGGTAAATGTCAGACAGTTTAAGCAAGAAATGTTACTAGAGACAGGGACATAATGTAGTGACAAAAGGGGCAATACATGAGAAAATGAAAATTATAAAAATATATCTAATGAGACCATCAAAATAAATGAAGTAAAAACTGACAAATTAAAGGAGAAATAGGCTATTTACAATAGTAATTGTAGATTTTAATTACCCACTTTCAGTAGTTGATAGAACAATTAGAAAATTAGGAAGACTATGAAAGACCTTCAGCACTATAAATGAACTTGATACAACTCATTTATTGAACACTTTATGCAAAATATGCAAGGGAGTTAAATTAGAGATCCATAACAAATCTGGTATCCCCAAATATTTAAAATTAAACAACATACGGCGGCTCAAGCCTGTAATCCCAGCAGTTTGGGAGGCCAAGGCGGGTGGATCACGAGGTCAAGAGATCGAGACCATCCTGGTCAACATGGTGAAACCCTGTCTCTACTAAAAATACAAAAAATTAGCTGGGTATGGTGGTGTGTGCCTGTAATCCCAGCTACTCAGGAGGCTGAGGCAGGAGGATTGCCTGTACCCAGGAGGCGGAGGTTGCGGTGAGCCGAGATCGCACCATTGCACTCCAGCCTCGGTAACAAGAGCAAAACTCCATCACAAAACAAAAAAAACCATATGTGTGTGTGTGTGTATATGTAATAGAGCAAAGAAATTCCAAGGCAGATTTTAAAATATTTTTAACTAGGCTGGGCCCTGTGGCTCATGCCTGTAATCCCAGCACTTTGGGAGGCCAAGGTGGGCAGATCACTTGAACCCAGGAGTTTAAGACCAGCCTGGGCAACATGTCAAAACTCTGTCTCCAAAAACATACCAAAAATTAGTCAAGTGTGGTGGCATGGTCCCAGTTACTTGGGAGGTTGGGGGACCTCCTTAGCCTGGGAGGTCAAGGTGGCAGTGAGCCTTCATTGCCCCACTGCACTCAGCCTGGGTGATAGAGTGAGACTCTGTCTTCTCCCACAAAACAAAATTTTTTTTAACTAAAGGAAAATGCAACCTATCAAAATTTATGAAATGCAGCTAAAGCTGTGCTTAGAGGAAGATTTATAGCTTTTATGATGCCTAGATATTTGAAAAGGAAAGGTTTAAAGTACTAATGTAAGTATCCATTGTAAGAAGCTAGATAAATAGTAAACTAATCCAAAGTAGCTGGATGCAAAGGTGTGTGCTTCTTGGGAGGCTGAGGTGGGAGGATTGCTTGAGCCCAGTACTTTGAGACTGCAGTGAGCTATGATTACATCACTGCATTCCAGCCTGGGCAACAGAGTGAGACCCTGTCTCTGAAAGAACAACAGCAACAAAAATCTGAAGCAAGTATAAGGAAGGAAAAAAATATTAGAATGGAAAACAGTGAAATGGAAAGCAGAAACCCAGTTGAGAAAAATCAGTGAAACTAAAGTTGGTCCTCTGAAAAGATCAGCAAATTTGATAAACCCCTACCAAGACTAAAAAAAGAAAACACAAATTACCAAAGTCAAGAATGAAAGGACATTATTATCCTACAGAAATTGAAAGGATTATAAGGGATTTGCCATGAAATCACTTTATCTCACCAAATTAGACAACTTAGATGAAATGGACAAATTCCTAGAAAGATGCAGATGATCAAAACTGGCTCCAAGGCCGGGCGCGGTGGCTTACACCTGTAATCTCAGCAGTTTGGGAGGCTGAGGCAGGTGGATCATGAGGTCAAGAGATCAAGACCATCTTGGCCACCATGGTGAAACCCCGTCTCTACTAAAAATACAAAAATTAGCCAGGAGTGGTGGCATGTGCCTGTAGTCCCAGCTACTTGGGAGGCTGATGCAGGAGAATCGCTTGAACCTGGGACATGGAGGTTGCAGTGAGCTGAGGTCATGTGTCTGCACTCCAGCCTGGCAACAGGGCAAGATTCTGTCTCAACAACAACAACAAAAACTGCAGAGGAACTAGAAAATGAGACTTTATGACAGTTATGATGAATTAGTAATTAAAAATCTTCTACAGGCTGGGCATGGTGGTCGCTCACGCCTGTAATCCCAGCCCTTGGGAGGCCAAAGTGGGCGGATCACAAGGTCAGGAGTTTGAAACCAGCCTGACCAACATGGTGAAACCCCATCTCTATTGAAAATGCAAAAATTAGCCAGGCATGGTGCTGCACGCCTGTAATCCCAGCAACTTGGGAAGCTGAGGCAAGAGAATTGCTGGAATCCGGGAGGCAGAGGTTGTGGTGAGCTGAGAATGGGCCATTGCACTCCAGCCTAGGGACAGTGAGACACTGTCTCAAAAAAAAAAAAAAAAAAATCTTCCTACATAGAGAAGCCTAGGCCCAGGTGTCTTCATTGATGAATTCTATTAAACACTTAAAGAAGCAAGCTGGGCTCAGTGGGTTGATGATATACACTTCTAGTCCCAGCCACTTGGAAGGCTGAGGTGGGAGGATTGCGTGAATGAGGCCAGGAGTTCAGAACTAGCCTGAGCAACATAGCAAGACCCCCATCTTAAAAAAAAAAAAAAAAAATCAAGGAAGCAATAATACTAAACCTGAACTCTCTTAGAAAACAGAAGAGGAAGAAACACTTGTCAACTCATTCTGTGAGCATGGTATTATCCTGGTAACCAAACAAAGATACTATAAGAAAACTGCAGCCCAGTAGCCCTTTATGAACATACATGTAAAAATCTTTTAACAAAGTATTAGCAAACCAGATTCAGCAACATAGAATAATGGATTGTATACCATGACCAAATGGAATTTAATCCAGGAATACAGGCTTGTATTAATACATAAAAATTAATACAGTATGCCAAGTGTCACTGATATACTGTATTGGTACATTCCATGAAAAGGCAGGGCCGGCTGGGCACAGTGGCTCATGCTGGTAATAAGCACTTTGGGAGGCTGAGGTGAGAGGATTGCTTGAGGCCAGGAGTTTAAGACCAGCCTGGGTAACATAGTGAGAGCCTGTTACTACAAGAAAAGAAAAAAAAAAAAACCTGGACATGGCATGTGCCTGTATTTCTAGCTACTTAGCAGGGCAAAGTGGGATGATCCTAGGAGTTTGAGAATGCAGTATGCTATGATTGTGCCACTACACTGCAGCTTGAGTGACAGTGAGATCCTGTCTCAAAGTGTGGCCGTGTGTGGTGGCTTACGCGTGAAATACCAATACTTTGGGAGGCCAAAGTGGGTGGATCACTTGAGGTCAGGAGTTCGAGATCAGCCTGACCAACATGGTGAAATCTTGTCTCTACTAAAAATACAAAAATTAGCTGGGTGTGGTTGTGCTCACCTATAATCCTAGCTATTTGGGAGACTAAGGCAAAAGAATCCCTTGAGCAGACTTGAGGCAGAGGTTGCAGTGAACTGAGATTGCACCACTGCATTCCAGCCTGAGTGACAGAGTGAGACTCCATCTCAAAAAAATGTGTGTTAGTCTGTTTTACATTTTGCTCTAAAGGAATACCTGAGACTGGGTAATTTAAGAAGAGGTTTATTTGACTCTTGGTTCTACAGACTTATAAGTATGGCACCAACATCTGCTTGGCTTCTGGTGAGCCTGCAGGAAGCTTTTACTCATGGCAAAAGGTGAGGAGGGAACAGGCACATCTCATGGCAAGAGAAAGAGCAACAGAGGAGGAGGTGCCAGCCTCTATAAACAACCAGCTGTTGTGTAAACGAATAAAACGAAAACTCACTCATTACTGAGGGGAGGGCACCAAGCCATTCATGAGGGATCCGCCCTCATGACCCAACTACCTCCCATTAGGTCCCACCTCCAACCTTGAGGGTGACATTTCAATATCAGATTTGGAGGGAACAGACATCCAAACTGCATCAGTGATGATTGCTGTAAGGATAGGCACTGGAACTGAATTGAGAGTCCAGTCATAAATCCTTATGCGTGTGGTCCTTTGATATTTGACCAAGATACCAAGGCATCTTTTCTACTTCCCACAGGAGTTGTATCCAGTGGAGGAAATCATAGTTTGTTTGTTTGTTTTTTTTCCAGAAATGATGCTGGGGAAAACAGATCTCTATATGCCAGAAATTTATCTCAGATCCTTATTTTACACTGAGACACAAAAATTAACTCAGTGCACTATACCTAATTGTAAGAGCTAAAACTACCAAATGTTTCAAGCATATCTTGGTGACCTGGGGTTAGGCAAAAGTCTTCTTAGACATGACACCAATGGCACAAGCCATGAAAGAAAATTGAATTGGCTTCATTAAAATGTAAAACTTTGGCACTTCAAAATATGTTATTAAGAAAATGAGAAAACTTCAGATTGTGGGAAAATATTTGCAAATTAAATATCTGATAAAGGCCAGGTGCGGTGGCTCACACCTATAATCCTAGCACTTTGGGAGACCGAGATGGGTGGATTGCTTGAGGCCAGGAGTTCAAAGACTGCCTGGCCAACATGGTGAAACCCCTGTCTCTACTAAAACTACAAAAAATTAGCCAGTTGTGGTGGTGGGTGCCTGTAATCCCAGCTACTCAGGAGGCTGAGGCAGGAGAATCGCCTTTTAATGAACCCGGGAGGCAGAGGATGCAGTGAGCTGAGATCATGCCACTGCATTCCAGCTTGGGCAACAAGAGTGAAACTCTGACTCAAAAAAAAAAACCAAAAAAAAAAACCTGATAAAGGAGTTGTTGGAAACAGATGCTTGGTTCCACAAAGAAAAGTTAGCACTGAGACAAACAATCTCTCAGCAAGCAATTTTTACTTCCTGGACTGCAGGAAGGGTATTCTCACTAGCCATCTTGCTATGAGAGTACAATGAACAAAGGAAAGCCGACATATTTATCTTTTATGCATTTGGGGTCATCCTTACTCCTGTGTCTGATCTCCTTTGGCTGGAGCCAGACCTCACAATCTAAACTAAAACCTGATTGGCTAACAACTTAAAACTTTTCAGGTAAAAGCAGTGGCAAGCTGGGACATGCTTGTGTGCACGTCCAGCACAGGTATCTTGGTTAAAGTACAAGGACATAGAATGTGCTACGTGCCAGTAAGCATGGTATGCCTAACAGCTACATAGGATAGGGCTTAGCAAAGAGTTGTTAGCACACTTATGATTTATTCTTTAACAGGAAAGGAAACTTTAAAGAGGAACTTTTCTACTTCCCACAGGAGTTGTATCCAAAATATATAAAAATCTCTTACAATTCAAGACAACTCAATTTTTAGAAATGAATAAAAAATATGATTCCACTTGTGTGAGATACCTAGAATAGGCAAAATTCATTGAGACAAAAAGTAAAACAGAAGTTGCTGGGGGAAGTGGAGAATAAGTAGTTATTGTTTAATGGGTACAGAGTTCTTGTTTAGGTTTATGAAAAAGTTTTGGAAATGATAGTGATCATGGTTGTACAACAATCTGAATTCAGTGTCCTTGAGTTATGCACTAAAGTGGTTAAAATGGTAAATCTTATGTATATTTTACTACAACAAAAATAAGTTTAAAATTTTGAAAACTTGGGTAAAAGAACATTTCATCACATGCAAAGGTGCTCTAAATTAGTCATTAGGGAGATGCAAATTCAAATTGGAATGTCCACTGTACACCTCAGGAATAGCTATAATCAAAAAGACTGTCAGAGTGTTCTAGAAAGTGTTAGGATGTGTAGAAACAAGAAATCTTGCATGTTACAGTGGTAATGTAAGTCAACTGAAAATCAGTTTGGCAGTTTATTAAAAATATAAACTTACCATATGATCCAGCAATTCCACTCCTGTATATCCAAGAGAATTTAAAACATATATTCACACAAAGACTGTATGTAGGCCCCAGGCTTGGTGGCTCACACCTTTAATCTCAGCACTTCGGGAGGCCAAGGTAGGCGGGTCACCTGAGGTCAGGAGTTTGAGACCAGCCTGGCCAACATGGAGAAACTCCCTATCTACTAAAAATACAAAAATTAAGTGCATGGCATGTGCCTGTTATCCCAGCTACTTGGGAGGCTAACACAGGGGAATTGCTTGAGCCTGGGAGGTGGTGGTTGCAGTGAGCCAAGATTGCACCATTGCACTCTAGCCTGAGCCACAGAGTAAGACCTTGTCTCAAAAGAAAAAAAGACTATATGAATGTTCATTCATCACATTATTATGCATGTTCATAATAACATTATTAATAGCCAAAATCTGGAAACAGTTCAAATGTCCACCAATTGGTGAATGGATAAACAAAACGTGGAGTACCTATAAAATGCAATACTATTCAACAATAAAAAGGAATTAATTACCAATACATGCTACAACAAGGATAAACCTAAAACTTATACTAAATGAAAGAAGCCAAATTCTACCTGGTGCAGTGGCTCATGCCTGTAATACCAGCACTTTGGGAGGCTGAGGCGAATGGATTACTTGAGGTCAGCAGTTCAAGACCAGCCTTGCCAACATGGTGAAACCCTGTCTCTACTAAAAAAAAAAATGCAAAAATTAGCCGGGCATGATGTTGTATGCCTGTAGTCCCAGCTACTCTGAAGGCTGAGGTGGGAGAATTGCTTGAACTTGGGAGATGGAGGTTGCAGTGAACCAAGATCGTGCCACTGCACTCCAGCCTGGGCAACAGAGTGAGACTCCATCTCAAAAAAAAGCCAAACGCAAAGGAGTACATGTTGTATGATTTCTTCTATATGAAATGTCCAGAGGCTGGGCACGGTGACTCACGCCTGTAATCCCAGCACTTTGGGAGGCTGAGGTAGGTAGATTACTTGAGGTCAGGAATTTGAGAACCAGTATGGCCAACGTGGTGAAACCCCTTCTCTACTAGAAAAAAAGGCGGATGTGGTGGCATGTATCTGGATGATAGAGTAGACTCCGTCTCAAAAACAAAAACAAAAAAAACCCAAAACATCCAGAGAAGTCAAATGTATAGAGACAGAAAGCAGATCAGTGGTTGTCTGGGGGCTGAGTTGGAGTGGAAACAGGAACAAAGGGAGTTTGGGGGGTGATGGAAAGGTTCAAAATTAGATTTTGGTGATGGTTGCACAAATCTATAAATGAATGAATAAAAGTCATTGAAATATACACTTATCGCAGATGAATTTAATTGTCTGTAAATTATACCTAAACAAAGCCGTTTAAAGAAATATTTAAGATTGCCTGGAAGCAGGAAAAGGAAGGGATGTTTTGATAAGGTGATTTAAGTTCATTGATCAGATGGGGTTCAACTGATATTTGCTATGTCATTCTTCACCTTGGAAGCTCATACTCCCAAAGCCTTACCCTGTGTACCCACTACAGAGTATGCTAGAAAGAAACTTCTTGTTTGGGAGGTGACTCAACTGTTGGAATGTGATGCTGATGGACCTAGAGTGAATGATAATTCCCATTCAGGCTGATGACACTTAAATGCAGAAAAGGCCTTCTTTTAACCCCAGGTTATAAGTTAACTTTGTCCAGGCACCTTGCACACATGTACTGATGGTTGACAAGTAGGCAAGAGTTTGGGTAGTCAAAGGATCTTGTCTATACTATGAAAAGTGGAAAACCTGTGGAGTAACACCATCAGAGACTAGGATACTTTGGGCTGCACTGTGTGCTGTTTGCAGAGCACTTTTCACATCTGAGGTGGAGTGGGTATATTTTCTCCCTTTTACAGAGAAGTAAGACTTACAGGGTGACTGGCTTGACCACGAGTATACACAGGGTAGAGCTGAACATAGCTGAACTTAAATTCAGATTTTCTGACTCTTGTATTTTAAACCATTTTTCCTGTACCTACTGTTTTTGCCCCAACTATTTACTGGGAAGAGGAGAGAAAAGGACGTATGATTTTGATTGGTTGTGTGTTTTTCAGTAGATTTAGTTAGTCTGAAGAATGGGAAGGGAAGTTGGGCTACACTGTAAGTTCATGGGTTCTATAGCAAGTATAACCAGGATAATTTTGTCCTGATATTTGGTAGCTATTAAAATTATGCGTAGGCCTAGTGTAATTTGTGGGACTGATAGATGACTGGAGGTATCCTGTGCTTGGTTCAAGGAGTGGATTACTTACCAAGTTACGAATATAATTGTGCTAGAAATTACAAGAAAATTCTTTTAATAAAGTTAAAAATACATTTGATTAAAAAAAAAAATTTAATTGTCTGTTCCATGCCAGGTCCCTTGACAGGTTATGGGATCACAAAGCCCAGTTGGATCCTGTTGTGGTACAGCCTGAGAGGAGAACATGAGTAGGCTGGAATTTCCTTCATTGTTTTCGTTCTCTGAGGATGACTTATCTGTCCTCCAAAGTGACCACCTCCATCACAGATGGAGAGCCCGTTACTTTCTATATTCTTGCAGCTGTGCTTTCCATAGGTTTCCTTTCTTGATAGAAACAGTTCGCTTTTCCTTCTTTTCCTCTGTGAATTTTTCCATCTGCTTTTCAGCCAAATGTAGTAGATTGTGCATCTAAAAGAAATCTTTGCTTTTTTAAAAAAATGATTTAAAAGATGAAAGATTTGTATGATCTGAAGAGAAACCAGAGTAGAAAGACATGATTTAAAATTAACTTTTTCTTATAATTGTTGAAATAGTTTATGCTTATTGCTAAACACTTGGAAGATATGAAAGATTATAAATAATAAACATAAAAATTACCTGTAATTCTACAACTTTGAGAGTATAGTAGTTAATGTCTTTGCTTCTAGTCTGCTTGAACTTCCTGTCTGCTTTTTATCTCCTATCGGCCAGTACATGCTTGGGAGCGCTCATAAACACACACACAACACATGCACACACACTAAGATCATAGTATTTTGTGTGTCAGATCTTGTGTGAAATTATTTGCATGTATTCTTAATCCTCAAGCAGTCCTGTGAAGCAAATACTATTATTGTTGTATCTCCTGTTTACAGATGGCACAGATTTAAAGGTTAAGTAATTTGTTCAAATTCATGTAGTTGCTAAGTAACAGCCGAGATTTTCACCCTCATTTAGCCCAAGCTCTTCATCATTACCTTTCTAGAAATCTATTTCCTCAGTGACTAGAACACCAAAATTGTTCTTTCCAAAACTGTTAGTAATCTTTTTTTTTTTTTTTAATGCTACCTTCTTTTCTGGCCTTGTCTCATGACTTCTTCACCATATTTTCATGTGCTTTACTCACACTTTCTGTTTTGTAAAAACACTGCTTCTTTGGCCTATATACATACCATCCGTTCCTTGTGCTTGGAATGCTTACTCTATTTCACCAAGGTAGTTACACATCCTCTTAAAGTCTTTACTTACACATCACTTACTAATGGAAGTTCCCTGACCCTTCTTACCACCAAGACTGGATTGGTCCCTCCTATTATTTACTTTCATAGTAACTTATTTTTATCTTCTGCAGAGCTGTTCACACTTGTAGTTAGCTATTTGTTTATTAGAATTTGTTCTGCCCTTTTTGTTATATACTTTCGTTTCTTCCGCATCTCCTGGCTCCTGTTGCAGTCCAGGTATACACTAGGTGTCTGATAACTGTTTGTTACCTTTTTCTTTCTGCACTTAGATCATTTTTTTTTTAAAGATCATTATTTATCAGCTCCATGCTTATGAATTACAAATGTGTATTCCTTGTTCTGATAACTGTTCCAAAAGTAAAATCCTCTTTCTTCCACTGTGAAATTGCCTATTTCTTTCTTGGTACACTCTGGGCTCCAAATCTAGTCAGGATGGTTTGGCATCATTCTTGACTGCTTCCTTTTCTGTTTGAGCCAGTTCTTTGGAAGGTGGTTCTGATATATTGATATGGAAAGATGGCCACAATATTTTAAGTGAAAGAAGGTGGCTCATGTCTGTAATCCCAACACTTCGGGAGGCTGAGGCGGGTGGATCACTTGAGTCAGGAATTTGAGACCAGTCTAGGCCACATGGCGAAATCCTGTCTCTACTAAAAAAATACAAAAAATTATCCAGGCATGGTGCTACGTGCCTGTGGTCCCAGCTAGTGGTAGGCTAAGGTGGGCAGATCACTTGAGGTCAGGAATTCGAGACGGCTTGGCCAACATGGTGAAACCCCGCGTTTACCGGAAATATAAAAATTAGCCAGGTGTGATGGTGCATGCCTGTAGTTCCAGCTACTTGAGAGGCTGAGGTGGGAGGATCACTTGAACCCAGGAGGCAAAGATTACAGTGAGCCAAGATTGCGCGCCACTGCACTCCTGCCTGGGTGATAGACCGAGACTCTGTCTTAAAAAAATAAAAGAACAGAACATTATGTGTAATTTGTGGTGTTTTTCCTCTAAGTATAAATACATGCATTTTAAATACCTTGAAATGTCTGTGAGGATATACACTGAACACAGTGATGGAAAGGGGTCAGCCATTTTATTTTGAAAAACAAAAGTCAAAGTATGCCTTTTTGAGATAACCTTTCCTTTCATTCCATTCCTGTTGACTCAGTTCTAACTCAGCTAACTTGTACAAGAAATTTCTTTTTTTTCTTCCTCTCACTTCATCTGCTTAGTGACTCTTCCCAGTCTTGCTTTCATTTTCTCCTTGCTGAGTTTAGCATTTAAAATGGCTCTCTGTCGGAGTAATTGTCTTTCTGCTTTGCTCACAGGACCTTCTGTAATATGTCCTTTTTTTTTTAACCTTTTCAATGCCATTTCTTATCACTCCCTAACACAGTCTCTGGACTATTCTGTTCCTGTCCCCTATACATGCCATGTAATTTTTCTGTTGCAAGTATTTAGAGTCCCATCTACAGAAAACACCCTTTAACTTACATAATTGTCTCCCTTGCTGTATTACTTAGTTTTACCCAAGAGAAAACTTGGATTTGGGTTAATAAAATATATAATTGTTTCAATGACATATTTAAAGACTGCTGATACTCTCTGTAAATAAATAGCATGCCTGTTCAGGTATACATTTTTCAAAGTACATGCCCAACGTTCTTTTCTAATGTTTTCAGAAATTATGGAAATAATTGGTTAAAAATGAATGCCTAGAATGCACAGCATCCTGAAAAACAAAACTGCCTCGAATACCTTCTGTGTGTCCACCTGTCTGACAGAAAGAAAATTCTTTTATAAAAGACCCCTTGGGGCTGGGCATGGTGACTCATGCCTATAATCCCAGCAATTTGGGAGGCTGAGGTGGGTGGATCACTTGAGGTCAGGAGTTTGAGACCAGCCTGGACAACATGGCAAAACTCCATCATTACTAAAGATACAAAAATTGACTGGGTGTGGTGGTGTGCCTCTGGTCCCAACTACTTGGGAGGCTGAGGCAGGAGAATCACTTGAACCCAGGAGGCCGAGGTCACACCACTGCACTCCAGCCTGGGCAACAGAGTGAGACTCTGTCTCAAAAAAAAAAAAAAAAAAAAAAAAGACCTCTTGGTAATTTCTTTGGGTAGGCTTGAGTTTTTGAGAGAGCACAAATCCAAATCCATTCATTTCCATAAAACATCAGACACAGTTTGATGTATATTTATTTGGCCACCAAACATGGTACAAAATTTTATGTAGTCTGTTGATACTTAAAAGCAACACAAGTGTGCCTATACCTGTCTGCACTCAGAAGAGTGGTGACAATTTCACATGGTGACACAAAAAGTTGGGCAGTAGTTGAAAAGTGGATGACATGAAATGTGGTGGTGGGATAGGGGCAGGAAGCCGATGTTAAGCTAGTGGACTTCGCTAGCCTCCAGTGGCCCCAAAATCACCTTGTCTACAGTAGGATTCAGGAATTTACAGTTTTAAAAGCAACTCTAGATGATTCTGGTGTGCAGCAGGTTTGGGAAACACTGGCTTGAACCTGATATTTTCTCTGAACTCTTGTAGTTTTCTTTTGACTTTGATTTCTTTTTTTGGTTCTTGTCTCATTACACTAGCGCTTCTCCTTCCTAATTTGACAAGAAAGCCCTGTTAAATTAAGGCTTGCTTAATTGTCAAGGCTAATTTGACAAGACTCTTCTTTTATTGTCTTACTTGACTTTTGGTATGAGAATCTGCTTCTTTCTTAGACTTAAGTGTGTGCTAAATTATTCATTACCAAGGCCCTTGTTTTTCTCTCATTAGCATGGGATTTAGTGGCTTATCTTATGCTTTAGGATTTAGAGAGTTGATATATGTTTAAATTTTTTTGGGGGGGAGTTTAAATTTTTTGTTAATAAAAATGTACATCTTCTATCTCACTTAGGTATTTTTCTTGTTTGAGGGACATGGTTTGCAAAGGTTGGAATGAAAGAACCTCATAGTTTTTGTCGAAAGAGATATTGATCTACATGTGAATAATAACCAGGACATTTCATATTAAGACGTACTCTATAGCCATTTAAAAGAATGATGATTACATAAAAGACTGTTGTGGAAGTCTATAATATATAGCTGAATAAAAAAGCAGATTATAGAACAGTAGGTATAAAATGAGCTTATTTTTGTCCAAGCCACTTCCCCCAAGCATAAAATTATTAGATAAAGGTCTTCAAGGAGATTATTATCTTAATATCAAATACGTTTATTATAGTTATTTATCATTTCCACTGAGGAAATGGATTGCAGATGATGATTAAAGGAATTTTCAATTTTTACTTTGTGTATTTTTGTATTTGAATTTCTTAATGGATTACGATTCTGTTTAAAAATTCTGAATGTACTGATTTTTTAAATGTGATGTGGTATCCAGATATGTCGTTGATTCTTTCTATAAAATATCATTTCCTTAAGTCTGGACTATTGAAAAAGGAGAAAAGTACTAGGAATTTAGAGAACTGACTCCATGTTAGAACCAAGGAGAACAAGAAAAGCTTTAGCTAGTGTTTTGGAAACAGTAGCACCTCCCACTCACACCAGTAGCTGATGCACTTAAGTCGACTCTGCGCATGCTTTTGCTTCCTATGGGTTGTTTGGTCCGCAGTTTGCATTCATCGATCAGTGAGTTGATTCAGACTCAAACCCACCGACAGCAATGAATGTTGAGTGCAGCCATCAGTGTTTTCAGTTGGTGGAGTTGCTGTTGCCCTCCCTGACTCCTGGCTCTTATTTTCCATCTCAGATCTTTGAAGTGTATGTGTCTGGCTTCTCCCTTAGTAACCAGCCATCTGCATGATCGAGGTCCCACAGAATTATCCATAACATTGATATTGGAGCTGAGAGGTTATTGCAGATGAGGAAACTGTGGTTCAGAGAAGGAAGGAGTGCTTGGAGAACCTCACAGGTAGCACTGCACCACACAGGTAGTGCTTGCTATTAGTACCTATAAACCACAGCTGAAGGACCTGCTTTTTCCTCTCTGTTTTGAACCAAGAAGGATGAGTGCTTTTTCGAGATAAATTAGCAGATTATGTTTGGAGTTTAATAATAACAGCTTCCATATCTTGAGCATTTGCTGTGGGCTAGGACAAAGTACCTTGTTTATTATCTCATTGAATCTCAAAACTCCCTACACCTGTAGGTACTCTTAGCCTTTGTTTATATGTGAGAAAATTGAGACACTTGCTTAGGGGGTGGAGCCAAGATTCATCCCAGATCTGACTGACTCCAGGGCTTTTTGCTTGAATTTAGCAAACATTTAAGCACATGTGGGGATGGCACTAGTAAAGCAATAGCTCTTGCTCTAACTGGGATCTCAAAACTTAACCATATTAACTGTAATTCAAGGTGAAATGTGATAAGAACTGTCACAATTGGATAATTTTGTGCTATTTTTGCTTATTAAATCCTCCCCTTGCCCTGAATTAAAAATTTTGAGAGGATGTGGGAGAAGCGGGAATTTAACTGGATTTTATTCCAAAATAAAATACGTATTTTTAATAAATTTTTACTTGCTACATTCTAGTTTTCACCAAAAGGGTGCATTTCTAGGAGACATTTAAGTATATCATATATCCTCATGGACCACTCCTTACCTTGTTGAAATGAAACACTTGTTTATTTAAAAAAAAAACACACAAAGCAAGGAACAGCAGTAGGAATAAGATTCACTGGATCACATTTGGGTGGGTTGCAGGACCATTTCTGGTGAACTCGTGACATGTGAAGGTACAACTTACTCTTTTGCTTCAGGAAATGTAGTGTTGTCATTAAGGACCCCAAGGTACAGTCAACGGTCAGTGGTTTTTTTTCAAATCCCAAACTCACCGACAGCGTTGAATGTTCCTTGGAGTCCTCTGAAGGTTGGCCTGGTAGCCCTTCTTCAGCCTCCCACCTGCATCCCAAGAACCAGTGAGCAGTGAGACCACTGGTGATGGAGGCTCTCTTTCTGGGTTTCAAGTTGAGAGTATTTAAATTATAAAATCGATTTGTATACAGCAGAGAGCTAATGAACTGTGGGATAGACTGTGTAGTAATTTCTACAAACAGGCTTGAATGGATGTCTGAGAAAATGTCTTTTAGTGGTATTTTGTGATTCTAAAAAATGTAAAATACCTGATTTTTCAGTAGTATTTTAATTATTAAAGAACCAGGGGTAAGAAATTAACATATATTGGGGACCTACTGTGTACTAGGATTTGTATATTTTATCTCATTAAATTCTTAACAACCCACATTTTCCTGATGAAAAAACTCGAGATGAAGTGATTTGCCTAAGGTTACATTGTCAGGAGCCAATGTTATAAGCCAGCACTTGAATATTGGACTTCATGTTTCCAGTGCTCACTGATCATACTGCCTCTCTTGTCTGAACTGTCGATATGTAGAACCATCACTGCAGAGCCAAGTCAAACATGTAAATTTCTTCTACCTGTTTGCCTATAATAATAGCAGGTAGGTCTATAGGTGAGGTCATAGGGGAGGATGAAAAAACTCAACCTCCATAATTGATAATCTCCTTTGCTGAGATCCTGCATTACTAAGTTACTACAGAGGTGTTAGTGATAGTTCACAAGATATTTTCTATATTGAAAAAGCAAAATCTAAACCCAAAACCCACCACCTAATATAAAGCCTGCATTTTTTTCCTTTTTTTGATGTAGCTGTGCCTTCAAAAGCCTGCATTTTTTTCTTAGTTGAGAACACAGAGTATAACTAAAATGTCAGATGTCATTTGTTCTGACTGAAAGGGTATCAGTACATTATAGGACATAGTAGTTATTTTCAATTCTGTTGAATGTCTGTGATGAAAAATCTGAAAAATGAATTAATAATATGAATATTTTCAGCATAGTTATTTACAGTGGGACGGATCTAGGAATACTTAATAGGAAAAGAGCTTACTGAACTGCTGGCCGAATTGAGATTAATCTCTAATTGAGGATAGTTATTGACATTTGCTTAGATTTAAATGCTAAAGGCTGACTGGTCTCAAATTCATTTTTAAAGCAGCCAAATGGTGCACATTAAAAGCAAAAATACCAACCATTGAGATTTTGGTTTGAATGTAAACTGTTTACATTTTATATCAGTTTAATTCACCCCTTTTCAAAACTCTGCATTAGCCAGCTTTGTTGAGTTTTCAGTGTTATGACAAAATTGTATGCACACATAAAAAATCAGGCAACTGTAACTGTGTAATGTTTTTAAAACTTTTAAATGGTTTCTTAAAAAGTCTTCCCCTTGGTCCAATAATATATAGAGATGTTAAGCCTTACACCATTTGGGTAAATATTTAGACTTTTAAAAAAAATACTGATTTCACTGGGCGCGGTGGCTCACACCTGTAATCCCAGCACTTTGGGAGGCCGAGGCGGGTGGATCACAAGGTCAAGAGATCGAGACCATCCTGGCCGACATGGTGAAACCCTGTCTCTACTAAAATAAAAAATTACTGGGCTTGGTGGTGCACACCCTGTAGTCCCAACTACTCAGGAGGCTGAGGCAGGAGAATTGCTTGAACCCGGGAGATGGAGATTGCAGTAAGCCAAGATCTCGCCACTGCTTTCCAGCCTGGTGCCTGGCGACAGAGCAAGACTCTGACCCCCCCCAAAAAAAAAAATACTGATTTCTACTTCACCAAACATTTAGATGCTAACAAAATATTCCTTAAATTCATAGCATTCTAAAATGAGTGCTTTTCATAGACTTGAAACACTATAGAAAGGTAGGTTTCTGGAATGGCATAGGGGTGTTTCCCATTGTATTTGAAATCATTGTCTATCTTGGCATAATGGCCTTCATCCTTGTTCCTTTACGTTTTTTAGTTTTTATCATCAAGCAAGGTTGAGACACACATTTGAGTTTTTTGAGTTTGGCTAAGCAGTTTGTGTACTCAGTGCAGGTATAAAATCTAAGGATTAAAAAAATTAAGGGTTAAATTAGCTAAGAGTGACCAGGCAATGTCACACATGTAATCCCAGCACTTTCAGAGGCTGAGGTGGGAGTATTCCTTAAGCCCAGGAGTTTGAGGTTACAGCGAGCTACACCTGGGTGATAGAGTGAGAACCTGTCTCTAAAAAAAAAATTAAGAGTTATATAGGCTGACATTTAACAAGCCATTCCAACTGTTTAACTCTTTAGACCAGTTTCGAGTTTGTTAGAACTCACCATGCCATTCCTTCATCATTTCACTTACCTCCTTTCTTTTCCACAGATACCATGAGATATTGAAGCCCACATGTTTCCAACGTGGGGATGTAAATGTTTTCATAGTCTTCCTGGGACTTTGTGATATACTTGGAAGAAATAAGAAGCATAAACTCAATAAAACAATGTATTTGAATGGTTAGTAGGTAATAGAAGAGGAGTCATTGTTTCCGGTGCTGTCTGCCTAGGCGTTTCCCAAGCACTATGCAGGGAGCATCACTAGAAGTGTTTGTGGGTAATGCTGCCAGCCTTGAGGATAAATTCTTAAGTTATGAAGATGACTTAAGTTATGAAGATGACAGCAGCATGTCAGTGTGAATTCATGTTCCTTTTTGCCAAACTGTGTGAGTTTTCTGCTTCATCCTTTTACTGATTTGGCAGTAGAATCCTAGGAATCATTTTTCCTATATGTAACCCTTAGCATCATGGAACCCAGTATCTGACTAGGGAGCTACATGTAAATACAACTGATGACAAAGACGATGCCTGGTGGAATGGTATGAACTACATTAAGGGACAACAGAGAAAAGAAAGGTTATTTCTGCTTGCAAGTGCCAGGAAAGGTATATCTAAGAAGGTTAAACCTGCTCTAGGCTTTAAAATGTTAGTTGCATTTTTACTAGACAGAGAAAGGGAGCTATTCCAATAGAAAACCATGCACAGGAAATTCTGGAGGCAGAAATGTTCAGGTAATGGTGAGTAGTGAGACTAACCTCTCAGAGTGTCAGTTGTCTCATCTTTAAAATGTGAGACAAATAACACTTGCCCTTCCAACACACACAGCCATGAAAATCAAATGAGGTTGTGTGTCTGAAAGAAAATGCAAATGTAATTGCTTCTCGTGTCTCCCATTGGTTTTGTTTTATATATGCTAGAATAGAATAAAAAAGTACTTTATTATAGTAGACTTTCCAAATTAGACGATTCTTTGGCCTTCTTGCTTTTTCCCCTTTAAAATGACCAGAGTTTAAAATTTTCATACATTAAATGGAGAAGCAGTATTTACAGCATAGTAAAGAGCACAGGTTTTGGAGCCAGAATTGTGACTTTGAATTTTACTAGCTATGTGACCTTTGACAAATTACTTAACCTCTCCATTTCTCTATCTCCTTATCTATAAAATAGAGATTTTTATATTATTATTATTATTATTTTTGAGACGGAGTTTCGCTCTTGTTACCCAGGCTGGAGTGCAATGGCGCAATCTCGGCTCATCGCAACCTTCACCTCCTGGGTTCAGGCAATTCTCCTGCCTCAGCCTCCTGAGTAGCTGGGATTACAGGCACGCGCCACTATGCCCAGCTAATTTTTTGTATTTTTAGTAGAGACGGGGTTTCACCTTGTCGACCAGGATGGTCTTGATCTCTTGACCTTATGATCCACCCACCTCGGCCTCCCAAAGTGCTGGGATTACAGGCATGAGCCACCGCGCCTGGCCTGATTTTTATATTATTTCAAAAGTGTTTAAATTGTTAAAATCATTTTACAGCTATTACTTCTATGTTAGCACATAAAATTGCATGTTTTCCCCAGTATTTGGCTTCTAGGCCATATATGCTAATATAAAAACCTGTTCTTTCATAGTTAAGACAATTTCTGGCTAGCTATTGTATTGTATGTGTACATATATGTGTTTTAAGGACATATTTGAATTAATGCTCTACCACTTTTTTGGTAAGGTTTTCATTTCCCACAAGGAAATGAAATTCCTGTCTATAAAATGAGAATATTAGTACCTTCCTCATTGATTGTGAAGGTACTAATAATAAATTAGATAATATTATTTAAAACTCTTTTTTTTTTTAAGACGGAGTTTCACTCTTGTTACCCAGGCTGGAGTGCAATGGCGCGATCTCGGCTCACCGCAACCTCCGCCTCCTGGGTTCAGGCAATTCTCCTGCCTCAGCCTCCTGAGTAACTGGGATTACAGGCATGCGCCACTATGCCCAGCTAATTTTTTCTATTTTTAGTAGAGGTGGGGTTTCACCTTGTTGACCAGATCTCTTACCTCGTGATCCACCCGCCTCGGCCTCCCAAAGTGCTGGGATTACAGGCATAAGCCACTGCGCCCGGCCCTTATTTAAAACTCTTTGGAATGCTATGGAGTATCTCCCTAAATACATGTCCATAAACACATTTTGAAATCAGTTTCAGTTATGAAATCCAAGAACCCATAATCACCTCTTTGGTGGATTGGTTTGTGAACTTAAGGTTAAGAAATTCTGACCTTAGTTATAGAGCAAGATTTCTCAGTCTAGTCTTGTCACTGATGTGATGTTGCTTTTTTGGGAAGCCTTGATCTCCATCTTATTAGGAGAGACTACTTGCCAGTATCAGTGCATCCTCTTGCCGTCACCTTTCCCTGAAGCATAATCTGTGTGGTGTAGCCCAATAGTGATTGTTCCAGGAAAAGTAATTATTTAGACTTCACCAAGTTCTGTACTAATTGTAGATACCAACCATTAGTTGGTAATTCCATGCTTACACAGTTATCATGATAGTCCCTTCTTACATGCAGCTTTGCTTTCTGTGGTTTCAGTTACACTAAAAAATAGATGAGTGCAGTACAAGAAGATATTTTGAGAGTGACACCACATTCACATAACTTAAAAAAAAAAGAGAGTCTCTTGCTCTGTTGTCCAGGCTGAAGTGCAGTGGTACAATCACAGCTCATTATAGCCTGGAGCTCCTGGGCTCAAGTAATCCTCCTGCCTCAGCCTTCTGAGTAGCTAGAACTACAGGTGCATGCCACCGTGCCTGACTGATTTAGAAATTTTTTTTTTTTTATAGAGACAGAGTCTCACTATGTTCCCCAGGCTGGTCTCGAACTCCTGGCCTCAAACAGTCCTCCCACCTAGGCCTCCCAAAGTGTTGGGATTTCAGGCATGAGTCACTGCACCCAGCCACTTATAGCATATTGTTACAATTGTTCCATTTTGTTATTGTTACTGTCTTACTATGCCTAATTTATAAATTAAACTTTGCCATAGGTATGTATGTATAGGCAGAAACATAATATATATGGAGTGTACTATTTGAGGTTTCAGGCATCTGCTGGGAGTCTTGGAACAGATCCCTTCTAAAAGAAGTTTGCCAAATGAGAAGTTATACAAATATTTGAATGAATTTAACTATCTTATTTTGCAAGTTTCCCATCTCCCCCCACTTTCCCAGCAACCATTTGGTTTACATCTGATCCAAGCACTATGACCACTAATTCTCATTTTATGTTAGCCCAGAAGAATGTGTTGCTTTAAGGTACTGGTCATAAAGGAGCCTGCTGACAAATCTAGTGTCTTTACTTGAATGTTAGGAAGGAGAAAAAAGAGTCTCAAAGGTTAAGTTGTATATGGGATAATGGTCATTCTTAAATTAATCTGCTTAAGGTTTTACAAAGGCGTTGAGAGGTAGAATTAGAAATTTAAACTCAATAGTTTGGAACGTTTTCAAATTTTACATGACAACTTTATATCAGGTTACTTTAGCTCTTTGGAATTTGGGGGCTCTGGGCTTGGTGGCTCATGTATAATCCCAGCACTTTGGAAGCTGAGACAAGGGTATCACTTGAGGCCAGGAGGAGTTTGAGACCAGCCTGGGCAACATAACAAGTCCTTGTTTCTACAAAAAAAAAACAAAATAATTAGCTGGCTGTGGTGGCATGTGCCTGTAGTTCCAGTTACTTAGGAGGCTATGGTGGAGGATTGCTTAAGTCTAGGAGTTAGAGGCTACATCTAATTGTGCCACTGCACTCCAGCCTAAGCGGTAGAGATGAGTGTGACCTCATCTCTTAAAAGGAAAGAAAAGGCTGGTGCAGTGGCTCATGCCTGTAATCCCAGCACTCTGGGAGGCTGAGGTGGGTGGATCACCTGAGGTCAGCAGTTTGAGAGCAGCGTGGGCCAACATGGTGAACTTGTCTCTACTAAAAATACAAAAATTAGCCGGGCATGGTTGGAGGTACCTATAATCCCAGCTATGGGAGGCTGAGGCAGGAGAATTAGTTGAACCTGGGAGGCAGAAGTTGCAGTGAGCCGATGTCGCGCCACTGCACTCCAGTGCTAAAGGCAATATTTCTTTTCAAATGAAACACATAATTCAAAGCCTTTCAAAATACTTTGACTTGGGACAGTGGCTTATGCCTATAATCCCAGCACTTTAGGTGGCTGGGGAGGGAAGTATTGCTTGAGCCCAGAAGTTCAAGACCAGCCTGGGCAACATGGCAAGACCCCCCATCTCTATGAAAAATTAGCTGGGTGTGATGGTGTGTGCCTGTGACTCCAGCTACTCAGGAGGTTATGGCAGGAGGACTGCTTGAGCCCAGGAGGTTGAGGCTTCAGTCAGCCGTGTTTATGCCACTGCACTCCAGCCTGGGCAACACACTGTGACCCTGTTATTAAAAGAAAAGAAAAGAAAAGAACAAAACCACAACTCACTCTCTCTCTTTTTTTTTTTTTTGAGACGGAATCTCACTTCGTCCACCCAGGCTGGAGTGCAGTGGTGCAATCTCTGATCACTTCAACCTCCGCCTCCTGGGTTGAAGGGATTCTCCTGCCTCAGCCTCCCGAGTAGCTGGAACTACAGGCATGTGCCACCATACCTGGCTAATTTTTGTATTTTTTAGTAGAGAAAGGGTTTCACTATGTTATCCAGGATGGTCTCGATCTCCTGATCTCATGATCTGCCCGCTTTGTCCTCCCAAAGTGCTGAGATTACAAGCGTGAGCCACTGTGCCTGGCCAAAAAAAAAAAAACTTTTAAAGAGGCACCCAATTTCTATATCCCCTCATTACAGTGACTACTTTTTTGAGATATTACTATTTTAGATTATTTTGCAGATACACAGGAAGCAGGACTCATTTTTTTCATGGTAAATTAATTCATAGGATATTTGTAATCAGGGAAAGATTCTTCTAAGTTACTCCGTGCGGCATTACTGTTCAAATTAAGCTGAGTGAATAATAAGTTGGAAATATAAAGCTGTAAAAGCAGCAGGAACCAATATCATGCAGCAGCTGATTGATATTCATGGAAATTAAAGAATGAACTGGAGAGAATCTGGGTTTGTATTGTAGTATGTGAAAAGTATTGGCAGAGATTTTAAAAGTTCTTTAAAGCCAATAGGCATGTGTTTTGTAACAACCAGTTAATGAAATAAACAAGAACAGTTATCAAAGAACTCAATCTTTCCTTTTTTACAGTTATGAAACACAGATGATGTATCAGTGATATGACTGTTTCTGCCTCTGACTTATTTTTGTTTATTGGGTTAAATTTAATTGTATGGTAATTTATACTTCAAAAACTTGAGCTCTGTTCTTATAAAGTTTATTATCCCCTCAGGTAGAGTATAGATTTGTGTTAAGGTATTGTAAGGTATTGATAAGTAGACATATTCCTTTTATAACTATTTTGAGTTATTTAATAACAGGGAAAATGCTTTTTAATGTTGCCTTTCTTGGTTATTTCCAGCAAATAGTTGAATTTTTCCAAAATACGATATCTTAAAAGTGTTATTAAAAAATGCCTGTTCTGTAGAAAAGCTATGCTTAGATCTACCTCATACTTTTGTAAATGAAATAATACTGTACTAGGTTGGGCAAACTATTAATTACTTGGTGGATTGTTTTTGGACTTAGGTCTCCATTGCTAACCTGAAATTGACAATGCTGATGTTTGAATGGGAATGCTACTCAAAGCTCCATCATGAATGGGGAAAAATTTCTAGGTTGAATAAATAGAAAATAAGTTTCAATCTACAATTTTATAACTTTCAAAGCTATCAGTAGTGTTAAAGGTCATTTAGCCTCATGGTTTCCAAATCTGACTTTTGCATCAGAATTGAAAGTGTAGGCTGGGGACAGTGGCTCACACTCGTAATCTCAGCACTTTGGGAGGCCACGGTAGAAGGATCACTTGGGCCCAGGAGTTTGAGACCAGCCAGGGCAACATAGGGAGACCCCATCTTTACTAAAAATTAAAAAAATTTGCCCAGCGGTGTGATGCATGCCTGTAGTTCTAGCTACATAGGAGGCTAAGGTGGCGATATTGGCTTAAGCCCAAGATTTGGTCAAGGCTGCTGTGCTTGTGCAACTGCACTCCAGCCTGGGTGACAGAGTGAGACCCTGTCTCCCCCTACTCCTCCCAGAAAAAGTGGTAGATGGGAAATGTAGCCTGCTAAAGGTGCAGATTCTGAGGTATCACCCCAGATTTACTAATCAGCTTTTCTAGGAGTTAATTCTCTATTTTTCAAAGGCATTCGGATTATTCTGGTACAGTCATTTTATGGATCTTGAGGAATCTCTTATTTAGGCTAAAGATCTTAATTTAACAGATGAAGAAACAGATTTAGAAGGGAAGTGAAGATTCTAAGTCACACAGCAGGGTCAGAATTAAAATCTTTGACTACATGTATGTGTGTTTATCATAATTATACCTCATTGCCTCTCCATCATGAAAAAGAATGCTTTTTGTAGAAGTTCCCTATTGGCCATCTGCAAGATACATAGCCTTCAAGTCAGAATCTGCCCTTTGGGTCAAACATCTTAGCATTAGGGAAGCACCCAAAACTATTGTAAATGGACGATTGACTTGGATTTGATAGGCTTTCCTGAAGGAGTTGACTAAGTAAGCAATGCTGAGTGGTGTTGGCTTAAAATCTGACCATGGTATGAAATGAGAAATAGCTGTAAAGTGATCAAAACTCTGTGACGGTCCTTCTGGCTCTGACATTTAAGAGCTGCTGCTACACTTTACCACTTTTTTTTAAATCAAAGGTGACTACCACTGGATGGAAGAGGCTCGAGGAACCCCTGGCTGCTTTTTGGGGAGGAATTTATTTTAATTGCCAGTAAGAAGGTAGGAATGATTTTAATCGAGATCAAGAACCTCCTAATCTTTAGCTTGGGCTCCTGGCCAAGTGTCCATCCTCAGGAGAGAGTTGGTGTCAGCTGCTGCCTTGTGTTCCAAAGGTATTTCAGAAAAGCCGAAGGCATTACAGACACCTTTCCTGAGTTGGCAGGCAAGAGTGGCACCAGGAATCAAGGGCAGACACGTGTCATCAGTCTGGGAAAAGTGGAGTTTGGACACTAATGATGGCTCTTGTCAACACTCAGTGTGATAAAGCCAGGAGTACTTGGCTTGCGGGTTAGTTTGCATAGGCATGGAGTTAGAGCTTAGAGGACACCTGCCAAGAGTTTTCACTGTCCCCACTGTCGGTGATGGATCCTTCACCTTTGACTTCTATCACTCCTTTTTAATGGGTGATGGTAGAGATGCTGGATGGGTAAGGAAGAGAGGCAGCTTGATCATACCTAGCACATCTCCCTATTTGCTTGTTTTCTTGCTGTTGCCTGTATAGAACTAAATTTGTATGGCCATACTCCAGGCTAGTATTTTGTTCTGTCTGTATTTGAAGGCACACTGGGCAAAAGTCACAGGTCCTCTATTTCCATAAATGCCACTTTGCTAATATCCACACAAATGTTTTGATTGGCAGTTATGAGACTTTTTTGCTAATATATTTATTAGAAGCATTATTTTCAAATTCTGGTTCTGCCGTTTAGTAGCTGTGTGACTTCTGACAAGTGGTTTAACCTCAGTTTTTCATCTGTAAAATGAAGGTTAGTAAGTAATTGTGTTTATTTCTATTTTTTTATTTTTGAGATGGAGTTTTGCTCTTGTTGCCCAGGCTGGAGTGCAGTGGTGATCTTGGCTCGCTGCAACCCCTGCCTCCCGGATTCAAGTGATTCTCCAGCCTCAGCTTCTCAAGTAGCTGGGATTACAAGCATCTGCCACCATGCCCAGCTATTTTTTGTATTTTTAGTAGGGATGGGGTTTCACCATGTTGACCAGGCTGGTCTCTACCTCCTGACCTCAGGTGATCCACCCACCTCGGTCTTCCAAAGTCTGGAATTACAGGTGTGAGCCACCACACCTGCAGCAATTGTATTTATCTCACAGAGTGGTATGAATTAAGTGAGAGCAGGGATATAAAAACACCTGGCACATAACATTCAAATTTGTTACTACTATTATTGTAATTATATGACCAAACTTCCAGCTTACTCTAAAGAATGGACCGAGGGGTTTCTAAATCATCGTCTTTGTGAGCAGAGGAATTGTGATGTAGAAAGAATATAAAATTGAAGTCAGGAGATGCAAATTTAAGTCTTTTTTTCTTTTATTTTTTTGAGGCAGAGTCTCGCTCTGTCACCCAGGTTGGAATGCAGTGGCGTGATCCCAGCTCACTGCAGCTTCAACCTCCTGGGCTCAAGTGATCCTTCCACCTCAGCTTCCCAAGTTGTTGGGACCACAGGTATGCATCACCATGTCTAATTTTTTCATTTTTTGCAGAGTCAGGGTCTCATTGTGTTGCCTAGGCTGCTCTTGAGCTCCTGGACTCAAGTAATCCTCCCACTTCAGCTTTCCAAAATGCTGGGATTTCAGGCGTGAGCCACCATGTCTGGCCTTTGATTCAAGTCTTGACTATTGTATATGATACTTCAGTTTCCATACTTTTTCATAAAAAATTTTATCGGCCTAAACCAAACAGAATCAAGACCCCTAAGATCTCTTGCCGCACAAAGATTATTGTCCATAGAGCAATGGTTTTCAAACTTTCTGGTCCCAGGGACCCCCTTACATTCATAAAAATTATTGACGTTCTCAAGAGCTTTTATTTATGTGGGCTATAACTATCAATTTTTACTTTCTAGAAATTACATTTAGAAGCTTAAAAATATTTTAATTCATTTAAAGATTAAATAAAAGTGATAAACCATTATATATTAAGTAACATTTTAAAATAAAGCTATAAAAATATCTTTTAAAAATTGTTGAGACGAATGACATCATTTTACAATTTTGCAGATCTCTTTAATGTCTGACTTCATAAAGGATGGCTGAATTTTCATATCTGCATATATCTGTTACAATATATTGTTTGGGTTAAAGTGTATGAAGAAATTCTGGTTTTACATAGATACATAGAAAAAGATTTTTTTATGGTCACTTCAGGCAATTTTGCATATTCTTCTTTTGATACTGTACTAGATCTTAATACTTGGTAGTTTAAAGGTTAGTTGCAGTATGGAATCAAACTATATCAATGAGCTTTCCATACTTGATTTTATTAAAATTCATTTGTCTGTCTTGTATTTTTCATAGATTTTTTACCCAGACATGATTTTGTAACATAATACATTGGTCATTTGGAAAATACTTGTTCACTGAGTTATGCAGATTTTCTAAATATTGACATATTACATAATATCACAAAATTAAGTTTGCTAATATCATCATTGAACTCATCAGACCTGTCTTTAAATATCTGGAACCTGTGAAGCTCACAGTGACAATAAAAGTTTCCCAAAATTCTAATTTTGGCTTAAAAGCTCAAATGTTATGATTGGCAACAAATACTGTCACTTATTTTCCTTGAAGTGACACGCTCACTTTGTTCCTTTTCAAGAAAATATCTGTCAAATACCCAAGTGTGAATAACTACAGATTGTTCAGTGTAAGTCAAGTGATAGTCAATTTAAAAAATGGGCTAGTTCAGCTTATAACTTAAACAATAACACCAGTGCTGCTACTTGAAGCAGCCAGTGTACAGAAGTGGTTTATATGTACTTACCATTTTGTTACACAAAATATTTTAAAAGATGTTTGCTCAGGGTCAGGATTTAATAAAATTATTAAACCTTACTGCTTCATCAAGGACATTATTAAGTTAAAATGGCTTTCCTTCCTTTTTTCTGTAGTGTGTGACAGTGACAAATACAGTGACTATTGGTACATTTTGGTGCCACTGCTTAATTACTGCCAAGTGCAGCAGTTTAACCCAGCATTGACTTTGTACCATCATTACAAAGGTCAACATAGTGAAAAAGGCAAATAAAGTCTTAGAGTTAGTATGGTAGTAGTTTTGACTTTTCAGACTCCCAGAAAGAGTCTGGGAGACATATGTGGACCCCACTTTGAGAACCAGTGGTTTGGAGTTCAGATGTTAGGCAAATGGTGGGAAAATCCCCTAGTCCCTTCAGAGCTAATATTCATGGCTGCAGTAGGCTATATGAGAGGAGACAAACCCTGTATTGTTTGGCATCTCCCTGGGGCTTGTTTGCACAGTGGAGCTCAATAAAGGTTGATCTGTCAATGCTTATTGCCTAAATATTTAGCAACTTCTTTTTTCCTCTGTACTTTATACACTCAGTTTTTGTGTGTTCACATCGTAAACACTGTATTTTCTGAGCCTCACTGATCCCTGTGCTCAAGTTTATCTTTTTATTATTAAGTCAGTTCAGTTTATTTAATAGATGTTGATTGGACAATATTGTTTCTATGTGGATTCTGATTGCAGGGGGGATAAGAATTAAATCACATGGCATTTACTTTTTTATGGTTTTGGGAAAATGAGCAATTATACAGCATGCCAAGTAGTGTCCAGATGGAGAGGTTAATAGTGCCTTTTGCAGGGTTTAGCATTTAGTAGCTATTAGTAAGAAATAGCCCCTTTTTGGAACATTCTTTGAATGTTACACATCATGATTCACATATATGTACGTAAACACACATATAAACACATTTGACTATATGTATCATTACATATAATGTGTAACTCAGAATTTCCTTTTGAGATACAAATAATCACCATATAATCTTGTCTATTTTGGAAGTTGCATCCATAATTTTGGTGGGTGTTAGGTCTTTTTTTCAAACTCTTAATTTTTTTTTTTTTTTTTTTTTTTTTTGAGATGGAATCTCTTTCTGTCGCCCAGGCTCAAGTTCAGTGGCATGATCTTGACTCACTGCAACCTCCAGCTCCCCGGTTCAAGTGACTCTCTCACTTCAGCCTCCCATGTTGCTGGGATTACAGGCATTTGCCACCATGACTGGCTAATTTCTTTTTGTATTTTTAGTAGAGATGGGGTTTCACCAGGTAGGCCAAGCTGGTCTTGAACTTCTGACCTAAAGTGATCCACTGCCTTGGCCTCCCAAAGTGCTGGGATTACAGGCATGAGCGTCCATGCTTAGCCTTTTTTCAAACTCTTAAGATTTGAAAAGTAATGAAAAACATTTTTGTTTTTACTGCTAATGTTATACTGCAAGCAGTTGTGTCTTGGTTAAATATTACCCTTTTTGGCTCCTTACAGTTGGTTCTATGACAAGATAATTGGTGGGGTGGGGGGCAGGTGTGGACCTGCTGAGTAGATTTGATACTACATTTAGTTTTTAGATTAAGGCAGATAGAAGAAAGCTGCACAGGTCCAGCTTGCTAGTCGTTTTAGCATTGGAAGTAGTCAGTTTACAGCTTAACAAATCAGTTTGGCGAACAAAGGTGTCAGTCACAGTATAGCCAATAACTGGCAGGTGAATTCATGCCTCCAAAATGAATACTGATCAGAAGCAACCAGTTATAAAAATTGCTCTGTTTTTGTAAGCCACACACAAAATGGAGGCCTTTTCTTTCTTAATTTCTAGAGACAGGGGTCTTGCTGTGTTGCTTAGGCCGGTTTCTAAGCAGTCCTCCTGCCTTAGCCTCCTGAGTAGCTTACAGGCATGACCACTGGGGCCAGCTGCCTTTTCTTCCTAGAATGACCTCAGCATGTCTTTTTTGCTTCTAGAAAGTTAAGACTGGATCCCTCCCCTTTGGGGCTTTCTTACTACTTTCTTAAAATTTTATTTCCTGAGTGAGGTCTTAACTGGGCTATATGAAAGCAAACTGACTAAAGGAATTTATCCAAAAGTTTCCTTCTTAACTCTTCCAGGAATATTCAGTTATATAAATGAACTAGAGAGAGTTTGGCTGTGAGAAGCAGATCCTTATTTGTTCCATTCCAGGAGATGGAAGTGAGGGAAGGGCATTTCTCAAATCATAACTTAGTCCAGGTAAGTCTAAGGAGGTGATGAGGTAAGAACAGTAATAGCCTTTCTTTATATTATCTTAGTAAACACTTACAACAACCTTTATGATAAGGTAGTGGTTATTGCATTTGTTATTACACTTACATCTTCTCTCTCACTTCATTGTTCTCCAGTTGTCCCTAGAAGTGCTTGGTTTGCATGTACCAAAGTAATTTGCAGTTACGTGTTGTTCGGCTACATGAGCAGTGGTGCGTGTTGCTCAATATGTCAGATCAGCTAGGTTGTGTCATTTGATTGAAATGCTAAGTTTTACAGTTACTGAAGGGTGATGATGTGTACATTATTCAGACTTAGGACATTACTCCAAGAAAAAGTGATGATTAGAGTTCTCTTTTAATTTGTGTATATGGAGTAGGGCTAAGATTGTGTAGGCTCTTTTAAGAAGGTTGTCAGCTTCTAGGCATGAGAGCATGACCTTAAAATGGTTGTGAAGTTTAAGGAAAATGCAACTGGAATGGGATTTACTCAGATACTGACAGCTAATAAAAACATTTAGGTTTAAATATTCAGCTGAATATTCTTAACAAAGATATTCTCTTAATGATTTAGAAATCTATACTAATTACAGGCTTTTTTTTTTTTTTTTAAAGAAACAGTCTAGTGCATTTTCTTTAGGATTTATTTAAATCAAAATGAATTCCATGTTTCCTTTTGGTTTCTTTTACAGTAGCATTCTCAGTCTTCTGGACCCTTTAAAGATGTTAGGCTTGTGTGCATTCTAAATCGTAAGGTCTTTTCGTGTTATATAGACTTTCTCTGTTTCATGGGGTCATGTAGCCAGAATACTTAGGATTGAAATAGACGTTGGCAAACTATTAAGAAAACAGAAAAGTAAAGGCTGGATTTGGTTATTAGTGGTAAAAGGAAAACCTAATGTGAAAAATAATACTCTGAGATTAGAATGGTAAGTATGTTTTGGAGAGAAAGGTCACAAGGGAATCTTGTGGGCAGCAGTAAATGTGTGTCCATAGCTTGATCTGGATAGTAGTTAACATATATAATACATATGAAAACACTTTATCAAACTTAAGATTTGTTTACCTTACCATATGTAAATTATACCTCAAAAGGTTAAACAAAGCTTGGCACAGTGGCTCACGCTTGTAATCCTAGCACTTTGGGAGGTTGAAGCAGGCAGATAGATGACTTGAGCTCAGGCATTCAAGACTAGCCTGGGCAACATGATGAAATCCCGTCTTTACAAAAAAATACAAAAATTAGCCAGTGTGGTGGTGAGCACCTGTAGTCCCAGCTACTTGTCGGGCTGAGGCAGGAGGATCACTTGAGTATGGGAGGTTGAAGCTGCAGTGAGCTGAGATCGACCCACTGCACTCCAGCCTGGGTAACAAAGTGAGACTGTCTCCAGAAAAAAAGCAAAACGGTAATAATTGTTTGAAAGTAAATATTGGTAGTTACTATACTATTATTACCATTTTTTAGGAAAATTTGAAATATTTCATGATAGGAAAAATAATCCTATCACTCTAAGCATGTCAAATTATATATCTAGTTTATAAGCACTAAGGCCTTTTTCTCCCCTTCTTTAAACTGCTATTTTTGAGGTTTGGAATTTTGTGTTTTTCTTAGATGCTACTGGAGGGAAACAGAGAATGAAGTCTTATTTTTGTGGTGTCAGTTGTTGAAAGGGGACAAACCCAGTTCTGATCTTGAAACTAGCTTATGTGAAAGCTCTTTTCAGTCTTGAATATGAGTGAAGTAAAGGTGACCATTTAGCTCTGTTAAGTATATATGATAACTCTAATTACCAGTTTTAAAGGTTCTGTCATTCATAAGTTTGTCTAGTACTTATTGAGGACTTGCCATATATCTGATCTTGTGAGAAGAACCATCTCAGATGGTGACATTACTATTTCATTTGGTATTCGAGGATGCTGAGGATCTGTGGTTAAGTAACTTGTTCAAGTTCTCATGGCTAAAGAAGGGAGGGCTCCCCCTTTCTTAACCCCTATAATACTTAAGCTTCCAGTATCAGAATATAAATAAGAAGGTAATCATCACTCTGTAAACTGACTCTTTATTGTTGTATTATCGCTACTTTTAGAGAGATCCATGTACTGTTTTAGCAGTCTTTTTAGAACTTGTATTAAGTGGCCCTTAAGTATCTCATAATAATTTCTAACACTTTCTTAATAACGTGGCAATATGGCTTTGTCTTTTAAAGCAAAATCTGGAGAAAAAGGAGATATTTATTTCCCTGTGGCACGAAAAGGGGCTATATATATTGGTCATTTTTTTTTTTTTTAAATAAAAGGCTAGAAATCCTCCCTCCCAACCACATCAGAACGAGCCAAGTTGGTACAGGGCCCTTACCAGAGTAATGATGTAAGAATTTGAGAGTACATGGTGCAGCTGCCAAAGCTCACAATGTTTAATTTCAGCACTGTCTGTTTGCCAGAGTTTGCAGCTCAATATTTTTTTCTGTATGGATTGAATTATAATTACATATATTTGTCTTACTTGTCTTATTTAAGGGGGAAGTAAAGAGTTATTGTTTGATAAATTTGCTGTTTTCCAAGGGAATGGTGCTGTTTTGCCTCTCACATGTTATTCCCCCACTGATTCCTAAGAATTTACTCTCCTGGGTGAATTCTAACTCGTGACACAGAGGGGCAATTCACACCATGCCTGTTTATATTTTGCAAGAAAACCCTTCTCTTAGCATGTGTATCTATTCAGGCAGTTCCATCTACTACATTCCATCCATTTGCCAAGTCTTGGACTCTTATCCAAAGTACAGTATTTGAATATACAATTACACATACACATACTGGGAAGAGCATACTTCTTTCCTAGCCTCTCTTGGAGAAAGCTTGAAGCCAGAGAAGCAGATCCAGATGTTCTGGATTGAGTCTGGCACCTTCAATTGAGAATTCTAGATGGAAAGATTTCATGTGGAAGTGTACTGGGCTTGCCCAGCACTTGCTTATTGTTGCTAACCATCATTTTTATGACTAAAGATTCTAGACTGCCTCCTTTGCTGAGCAGAAAGAATTACACACTAGGGCTACATGGGAAGTGGCTTCTAATCATTTGGGAGAAATATCAGAAGGCATGCAGATGAGGGTAGCTTTACTATTGGGAATAAATCTGAGTTGATAGCAGGTGCAACTACAGCTCCAGTTCTTTAGCCAGACCTGGTTATATTTAAATTTCAAATAAAAATCTTTGACATCAACATAAGTGAACCATTATCGGCTGTCTGGCACCTAACAGTACCTTGTACAAGTAGGAGATGCTCACTGACTCTATTCAATCAACACTTACTGAACACCTTCAGTGTAAACCAGGCAATGTGCTAGATGCTGGTAATGAATAAGGTATATTTTCAATAAGTTACAATCCGGTAGGAGGCACAGACTCTTAGGTAAATTACAATTCACTGATTTTATTTGTTGTTTATACAGTTCAGTATTTTGTTTGCTTTGTAAGTCAGCAGCAGAAGCCAGTTCTCAGGATGAACTCCATGACTCTCTAGGAAGAAGCACAGTATTTCCTTTCATTTCTAAAGAATGCTTACTTGCTCGCATTTTTGCCTCTTTAGATACCTCTTCTGACCTGCCCAGGGATGAAGTATGTGGAGTGTGGGAAGAAAAGACTAGTGTAATGCAGGAAGGCATTTCTAAGAAAGCTTCCAGAATTGATTATTCTGTTCTAAGAGATATTTTCTTCATCTAAAAAAGATGTGAGAATGCACAAAGGTTAGCTGTGTTGGTTATCAGTTTGTTATAAGGTAAGAGCAAAAAAGAATGATTTCCTTTTCTCTCTCTGGAATGTAGGACTCCTTTATCTAACTGATTACATGGTTAAGGCACAGCTAGAAAATACATTTTTTTCATACTCGTTTCTGGATGGATGAGGTCACATTTGCTTAGGAGTTACATAGTTCCTGTGCTATAATTTGCTATTCCTTCAGCCTTTTTTTCTCCCAATTTTGAAGATGGGTATATGTATATTTCCATTGGGCCATTCTTAAATATAAGAAAAATGTTAAGTTACTTATCTCCAAATCTATTTCTTTAATGTGAAGCAGCCTCAAAGCATGTGTATCTCTGCTATTAAGACAATAATAGGGGCTGGGCACAGTGGCCCTGTAATCCTAGCACTTTGAGAGGCCGAGACAGGCAGGTCATGAGGTCAGGAGTTTGAGACCAGCCTGGCCAACATGGTGAAACCCTGTGTCTACTAAAAATACAAAAATTAGTAGGGCATGGTGGTGGGCTCCTGTAATCCCACCTACTGGGGAGGCTGAGGCAGGAGAATCGTTTGAACCCAGGAGGCAGAGGTTACAGTGAGCCGAGATTGTGCCACTACACTCCAGCCTGGGTGACAGAGCAAGACTTCGTCTCAAAAAAAAAGAAAAAAAAATAATAATAATTAATATTTATATAGCACTTGTGTTCCAGATTTTATTTTTAGGACTTTATATGTAAAGCAGTTAAAAGAGGGCTTGTCTTATCCTCACAACAACCCAATTAGATAAATACTTTTTGTTTTTCTCATTTTACAGATGAAAATAGAAAGACACAGTAAGGGAAATAAATTGCTCAAGATCACACAGATAATAAGTGGCAGAGCCAGGATTTGAACTCAGGAAATCCAGCTTCATAATGTATCGTTTCATACTCAGTTTGACACTGAATGATAGGGAGTTCCTGAAAAGTGTAGGGGGTAACATTATCTACCATTTGAGTGCCTCCTGTGTACCTAGGCATTATACATGTCATTTTACTTCTTTTCAGTCTTATGGGTGTGTGAATTGGTCTCCATTTCACAGGTGATAATATCAGCTAACATATATGGAGCACCTACTATGGGTCAGGCATTGTACTAAGTGCTTATATTACCCATTTAATGTTGACAATGGTTATGTCGATTATTCTCATTTTGGAAATGAGAAAAGTGAAGCTAGAGAAAAGTCATTTGCCGAGGGTCACATAGCTAAGAACATACAGAGCTAAGATTTGAAGACAGGTTTGCTTGACTACAGAGACCAAGGTCTTAACTACCACCTAGTATGTGATGGAAAATGAGGTGAATCTCAGAGGACAGAGCCTAGTTCCAAATCTTGTTCCTCATTCTTAATCCTCACATATTTGTTTATTAATCATTGCTCCTGTTTATCTTTTTTTAGGTGCTCACAATAGAGAAACTTGATAGGTGTTAGAGATGACCTTATTGTTTGAAAACAGGAGATTTTTGTCTAATGTCTTCATGAAACCATGCATTTAGTGAACTTATCTTTTATGAAAGCTTTAACTTTTTTCTTTAATTATATTTGCCTAGGATTCATGACTGTAGATTTCTTTTTTATATCTTCACAGGGATTGCTAGAAGTTGTAGTGGGTTATTTATTTATTTATTTATGAGATGGAGTCTCACTGTGTCTAGGCTGGAGGGCAGTGGCATGATCTCGCCTAGGCTGGAGGGCAGTGGCATGATCTCGGCTCACTGCAACTTCCACCTCCTGGGTTCAAGTGATACTCCTGCCTCAGCCTCCTGAGTAGCTGGGATTACAGGCACGCACCACCATGCCTGACTAATTTTTTAAAAAATTTTATTTTTAGTAGAGATAGGGTTTCACCGTTGGTCAGGCTGGTCTCGAACTCCTGACTTTGTGATCCTCCTGCCTCAGCCTCCGAAAGTGCTGGGATTACAGGCAAGAGCCACTATGCCCAGCTCATAGTGGGACATTCTTAAGCATCTGTGATATTTATTTCTGCCCCAGCCTCTCAAGTAGCTAAGACTGCAGACACATACCACCACACCCAGGTTGAGATTCTCGTTTTGAGGTATTGTACTTTAGTTTATTTTGCCTCCTTAGGATTGTAAATTTATTTTCTTTACCACCTGAGATATGGCAGTATGACATTGGAGTTTTTTGGTCTGTTTTAAATTATGGGAGTTTTATGGGAGAACCTTCATATGTCCACTAAGTCTCAGTAGTTGCATGCAGTTAACTCTTTTTTTGTCACCCAGCTGGAGTGCAGTGGTCCAATCATAGCTCACTGTAATGACAACCTCAACCTCCTGGGTTCAAGTGATCCTCCCACATCGACTTCCCAAGTGGATGGGACTACAGGCACATGCAACCACACCTGGTTAATCTTTGTATTTTTTCTAGAGATGGAGTTTTGCCATGTTGCTGAGGCTGATCTTGAACTCCTGGGCTCAAGCAGTCCGCTGGCCTCGGCCTCTCAAGGTGCTAAGGCTATAGGCATGAGCTTCCATGCCTAGCTCAGCTGTAGTTCGTTCTTGAATCTTACATGTCAGTTACTCTTGGGTAAACACAACCTAATCATTTCAGAAATGAAAATGGTTTCTGTTCCCTCCCTCTCTCCAAATATCTTTTATTTTTCTATCATTCTTGATGTTTCTATCATGATAGATGTTTCATTTTTCTATTATTCTAGATGTTTCTTTTCTTTCTCCCCAACCAATTAGGCACTAAGATTTATTAAGTCTGCCCCTCAAATATCTATCAGAATCTAGCCCAAAATACTCAGCATCACTAAATAACAGAGAAATGAAATTTAGAAAAAGGATATGCCACTGCATACCCACCAGACTGGCTAAAATTAAGGATATGCTACTGAATACCCACGAGACTGACATACAAATTGTTGGTGAAAACAACTGGACCACTCAAATTCTGTTGGCAGAAGTGGAGTATAAATTGATCCAAATCCTTTGAAACTTCTAGTAGCATCTGGGAAACTTGAACTTAAGCAATTCCATTCCTTCTTCCCTCCCCTCCCTTTCCTTTTTTTTATTTGGAAATGGAGTTTCGCTGTGTCACCCAGGCTGGAGTGCAGTGGCATGATCTCAGCTCACTACAACCTCTGCCTCCCGGGTTCAAGCCATTCTCCTGTCTCAGCCTCCTGAGTAGCTGGAACTACAGATGCGTGCCACCACACCTGGCTAATTTTTATATTTTTAATAGAGATGGGGTTTCCCTATGTTGGCCAGGCTGGTCTCGAAGTCCTGACCTCATGATCTGCCTGCCTTGGCCTCCCAAAGTGTTGGCTTTATAGGTGTGAGCCACTGTGCCCAGCCAAGCAATTCCATTTCTAGGCATATACCCAACAAAAATGCATAACATGTGCACTGAAAGATAAATACAAGAATGTATATAGTAGCATTATTTGTAATAGTCCCAAACTAGAAACAACTAAATATTCATTAATAGTAGAATGGACAAATAAGAGTGAGAAAATACACGTAATGGAATACTGCGTAGTGGTAATAAGGATACACCATCACAGCATGCAGCAGCGTGGTTGCATCTCCTAGACAGGATGTTGAGCAAAAAACGTCAGGCACAAAGTATTCCATAGTATGGGATTCTCTTTATATAAAGTTCAAAAATAGACAAAACTAGATGATAGAGATCAGAATAGTGGTTACCTTTATTGAGGGTAGAATGGCTGGAGGGCACAAGGTTCTGAGGTGTTAGTAGTATTTTACATCTTGATTTAGACGTTGATTCTCTAGGTATGTTCACTTTGTGAAAGTTGATTGAACTGTTTGAGATGTGTGCACTTTACTATATTTTTACACTTGAATAAAAAAAATTTTTTTTAAAAAAAAGCAACTGGGTTTAAAAGTTTGAGGTGAAACATGGAACTCAAGGGCTTTTGTTAAAATACCATCTCTAGTTATTGGCTTTGTTTTAGTCACTTAAGAATGACCTTAAAGAATGACTTTTTCCTTTATATTTACATTTTCCTGTGTATTTACATTAGATAAACTTAGGTTATCTAATAATAATACTTTAGGTCAGGAGTAGGTTTGTGAGAAAGTTGGTGAGTTCCCACTTTTTATTCTATAATACTTCTTATATTTCAGGTATTTTTCAATGAATATTTTAAGCATGTTTCTTTTTAAAAAAAAGAATAAATGTCTTTGGAGGAAATATTAAGTACCATGACAAAGTAATAGAGTAAGCTATTTGGGGTCTTGTGAAACTTTATGGTGCCTTGCAAATCAGATCCCATTTGGTGATAATTCATTTTAAAACTCAGGAATATAGCAGGAGACATTTTTCAGAGGTTGAATAGAGCAAAATGTAAAACACACACACAAGCAGTCTAGTTCATATCTATTTAAATAAATTGTGGCTAAAACATGTAAGAAATTTTCTGTCTTATCCCCTTTAAAATATACAGTTCAGTAGTGTATAGTCACTTTGTTGTGCAACAGATCTTCAGAATTCTGAAGATCTGTACCCATTAAACAGCTCCCACTTCCCCCCTCATCCCAGTTCCTCATAACCACCATTCTACTTTGTTTCTATGTATTTGACTGCTTTAGATATCTTATGTAAGTAGAATCATACAGTAGTTGTTGTTTGGTGATTTCATTTAGCATAATGTCCTCAAATTCACTCATGTAGCATATGACAGCCCTTTGCATCTTTACTGCCACCACTGTGGTCAAAACAATTTTTTTTTCTGAACAGCTGCAACAGCCCAAGTGGTCTCCTTGCTTCCAGTCTTCCCAATTCTAATCTGTTTTCCATCCAGTTGCTAAATGCAAATTTAACTTTGCTTGACAACCTGATATCCTGACAATCTTTAGATAAAAATCTAAACCCTTTAACCTGACATGGGCTTTTATTATTGGGCCTCCAGTATCCTACTGCTAAGCCACATCTTGTCCTCACTGCTCCTAAACACACCCTTTGCTTCATCTGCTCTGAATTTCTTCCCTGATCATGCTGTTTCATGTCCTCAGTCACTAATTGTTGACAGTGAATCATAAAGGAATCATGATGTTTGCTGAAGCTGTGTTTGTCAGCTGCCTCTGCATGGAGCTAACCTGGAGGCATAATATCAGAATATAATAATCGAGTAGTAAGACTTCTCATTTCCTAGCTTTTTAGACCTTTTCTCAATGACCAAGAATGATCTGAAAATAGACACATAAAAGAAATTTGAGAAATAGGTGTTTTGTTTTGTTTTTTGAAAGTGTCTCACTTGGTCTTTTAGGTTGGAGTACAATGTCCTTATAGCCCACTGATGCAACTCCTGGGCTCGAGCCATCTTCCTGCCTCAGCCTCTCAAGTAGCTAGGACAGTAGGCATGGGCCGTCACACCTGGCTAATTTTTTAATTGTTTTTGTAGAGATGGGGTCTTGCTATGTTGGCTGGGCTGGTCTCAAACTCTTGGCCTCAAGCAGTCCTCCTGCTTTAGCTTCCCAAAGTCCTGAATTACAGGCATGAACCACCCTGCCAGGCTAAGAAATATGTTGACCATATTTATGTTGGGGGAAAGGTAGGGGGAAAACAGTATGTAAGTTTCTTATTTTAAAGTTTTTATTCTACTCTGCCCTTTAACAAATAAGACATGGCCGGGCGTGGTGGCTCAAGCCTGTAATCCCAGCACTTTGGGAGGCTGAGGCGGGTGGATCACGAGGTCAGGAGATCGAGACCATCCTGGTCAACATGGTGAAACCCCGTCTCTACTAAAAATACAAAAAATTAGTTGGGCATGGTGGTGCGTGCCTGTAATCCCAGCTATTGGGGAGGCTGAGGCAGGAAAATTGCCTGAACTCAGGAGGTGGAGGTTGTGGTGAGCCAAGATTGCGCCATTGCACTCCAGCCTGGGTAACAAGAGCGAAACTCCGTCTAAAAAAAAAAAAAACCAAATAAGACATTAAGTTTCTCTAACTTGCTATAATCTTGATAAATATTTCTTGTGGGCCTACTATACATATTTATTCCTATGAATCAAGAAAATAAGGATGGGCGCAGTGGCTCACCCCTGTAATCCAAGCAGTTTGGGAAGCTGAGGTGGGCAGATCACTTGAGGTCAGGAGTTCGAGACCAGCCTAGTCAATATAGTGAAACCCCATCTCTACTAAAAATATAAAAATTAGCCAGGCATGGTGGTGCGTGCCTGTAATCCCAGCTACTCGAATTCCTCTTGACTGTAGGTACTTGGGTAAATATTTCTGTGTGCTGGTGAGAGGCCAGGCTAATGGAATCTATCCCATTGGATTGTAGTGACTTTTTCCCCGCCCAAGAAATTTTGATATTTGATTATTCATTGTCTTGAAATGTTTTCCTTTTTCTAGCCACAGTCTGAAACCTGAAATTTCAACAGTTAGGCAGGGCAAATGTTTTGTGATATAAGAGGACCACATTGTAAAGGTTACTGTAGGCAAGATTTTTGAAGAAAGAACTCTTTCTGACAACTTTGAATCTCTTGTACGTGAAACTACCTGAAACCAAGTTGTTCAATACGTATTTGTTGAATAAATGCTATTTTGGTTATTTGCTTACCTTGATAATAATTTATATATTTTTCTGTTATATTTGGGAAACCAAAATATATATCCATATTTAGAACTATTTGCTGACAAAAATTTTAAATAATTCAGACATAAAAACTTTCATTTTTATACCTCTTAATTTATCAACAATGTTTTTGATGTCATTTATTTTCTTCAGTGGTGAGAGTGATTCTTGATTCATTTCATTGGTTAATGAAATACATGCATGAGAAGAATGTTTTATTTTGATTTTTTTTTACTTCTTGAGATTTCTAGAGCCAGATACTATGCTGTGTTCTGTTAGAGGGTTTTCAAGATTGCTGTCAGCTGTCTGGTTTTTGTTAGGGATGTATAATTTGTCTTATTAGGGAGATTCCTACTTATCTTTATTTCACATTGAGTTTTCCTTTAAAAACTCCCCTTTTTTTCTTAATTGAGTAAACAGAAACTGTAATATATTTGGGTAGCAGCTAATTATGTATAGCACATTCTCAGTGTTTGTGAGCTTAGGATGGGACAGGTACTGTCAGTCCCTGCTGGTAGGGGTATAAATCGGTCAGACCAAAAAAATTGTCAGAAACATGGATAGTGATTTCATTATAAGTGTGTTCATTGAATTAGTATTTATAGTAGAGAATAATTGCAAACCATCCAGGTATCTGCAAAAAACATTTTTAATGACTTGAAAATATGCTTGAACAAATGATTGTGAAAAATCAATGTTGAGAATGGATTCCATTGTGTATGAACTACATTAAGATTAGTAAGGATTTTTTCTGTGAGTGAGATTATAGGGGACAAATTTTACTTTTTATGTTTTCCTATATTATCTAAGTTTTCTATGTATTAATATATCAGTGTCATTTGTATAATGGCAGAAAAACTCCTAGTACAGTTGACCCTTGAACAACATGGATTTGAATCATGCGGGTTCTCACATACGTGGATATCTTGCTTTGCTTTGCTTTTCTTGAGATGGAGTCTCGCTCTGTTGCCAGGCTGCAGTGCAGTGGTGCGATCTCGGCTCACTGCAACCTTTGTCTACCGGATTCAAGCGATTCTCCTTCCTCAGCCTCCTGAGTAGCTGGGACTACAGGTGAGCACCACCATGCCAAGCTAATGTTTTTGTATTTTTAGCAGAGACAGTGTTTCACCATGTTGGCCAGGATGGTCTTGATTTCTTGACCTAGTGATCCACCCGCCTCGTCCTCCCAAAGTGCTGCGATACAGGTATGAGCCACCGTGCCTGGCCATGTGGATATTTTTCAGTAAAAGTTACACTGAGTGTGCTTGCCTCTTTTGCCTTCCCTTCTACCTCTTCTGCCACCCTTGTGACAGCAAGACCAACCCCTTCTCTTCCTCCTCCTAGGCCTACTTAGTGTGAAGGCAGTGAGGATGAAGGCCTTTATGACAATACACTTACCCTTAATGAATAGTAAATATATTTAGCCTTCCTTACGATTTTCTTAATATTTTCTTTTCTCTAGTTTATTATAATAATATAATATATAACCTGTGTTAACCAACTGTTTATCAGTATGGCTTCTGGTCAAAGGTAGGCTATTAGTAAAGTTTGGGAGAGTCAAAAATTATACATGGATTTTTGACTGCATGGGAGGTCGGTCCCCCTAACCCCTTGTGATGTTCAAGGATCAACTGTATTTTAAAAGTCACTAATAACTAAAACGAATAAGACTAGAAGGAAATTCTTGAATGTTGACAGCCCATATCTTTAGCTTGTGGGATTATCAATAACTTTAAAAATTATGATTAAATGTTTATCTTTATATTTTTACTCTCAGTCCATTTGCATTAAGCATACAGTTACTGTAAGATGAAAAATAAGTTATTTTACAAGGTATATCACTGCAATCAGCCTAAGAATATTCCTTCAGGGAACATTTTTATGAGGCTTTTATAACAGTCTTCAGAGGAAAGACATGCTTTCTATACCCTTCTTGATGGCTGTGATAGGACTTGAGACTCCAAATCTTTTAGATGTTTTTCTTCTATACAATTTCTGATTAAAGCGGTTGAAATAGTAATACTGCTAGACATAAATTGCTCTACCCTTTGAAATCTGTGTGAGGACAGTGATCTGTTTTACCATTAATATCCCAACTTTAAGGTAGTTTTGTGTTTGGAATATACAGTAGCATTTCATTCATTAATGGTTCTGCTTGGCTCTTAACACCTGAAGCAAGTATTTTAGATATACTTACTCCTTTGAAACCTTTTATTTTTAAAAACTAGATTAATCTTTATATACATGGATATGAAAGTAGGGTAGATAATAGTAATATCTGCAATTTGTAAAACTGTAGCTACATATCGAGCATCTGTGGTGTTCTAGGTGCTATGCTAGACACAGGCAAACATGTAATTCTTACAACAGCCCTATGAAGTAGTAGTATTTTTCTTTTTTCCCCCAGGGGAAGTACCTGAGGTTCAGAGAGGCACATTTCACAATGTCAGTAAGTGCTCGAGCTGATACAAAGTTGTCTCTGTGACTACGGTGCCCAAGTATAAGACCTCTGTCTTGTTTACTGCTGTGTGTCTGGTGCCTAGAACAGGGTTTGGGATATACTAACCTTTCAACAGATACCCCTTGAATGAATAAACTGTATACCTAGAAGCTCTTAGATAGCCAGGTAAAAGGAATTTTTCTGTTCTGGTAATAGAAGATTATACAGAGAAATGAGCTTGACAAAATGTAATGGTATTAGAAAGCCAAGTGTTGGCCAGGCATGGTTGCTCATGCTTGTAATTCCAGCACTTTGGAAGACCAAGGCGGGTGGATTGCTTGAGCCCAGGAGTTCAAGACCAGCCTGGGCAACATGGCAAAACCTTGTCTCTACAAAAAAATACAAAAATTAGCTGGGTATGATGGTGCATGCCTGTAGTCCCAGCTACTCGGGAGGCTGAGGCAGGAGGATTGCTTGTGTCTGGGAGGTGGAGAGATTGCAGTGAGCCAAGATTGCACCACTACACTCCAGCCTGGGTGACAAAGTGAGACCCTGTCTCAAAAAAAAAAAAAAAAAAGGCAATTCCACCAAAATCTTGGTCACAATAACAGATAACCAGATTGAGGTCTTCTTTTTGGTGTAACTGCCTAATTTGCTCTGAGTACATTTGCCAGACCTCTTTTCTATTTGACTTTAATGTTCAGTGAACAAAGAAAAAGAAAAAGCCACATGATACTGAGTCTACCACTGAGAAAATTTAGGTGGAAATCCAACATCTTTAATGTTAGGTAACTGGAATAGAAATTTCTTAATTGGAACTTCTGGATCTTGGGAGCTTCACACCCTGTGGAGATAACATTGCTTCATTGTGGCAAAATGTACTTTACTGCATTGGTAACCACAACTTCATTGTATTACCCTCAGACAATAAAGAGCAAATTCCAATCCAAGGAGAGATTAATATGTAGACACTCTGTAGGCGTGTTTCTAGTTTGTAAGATTAATTGCCACAGAAACCCAGTAGTGACTCTGGTATCTCATTCTCTTCATATTTATCATCCATGTCTCAAGTATTCTTGGTTGTTAAGAGCCAGATTAGTCATGAGTTGAGTTCTAGCTAGCTGTGTAATTATTATTATCATAACATGTGTCATTAAAGGAAATGGTAACTGCTAAGAACATAGTCTTCAGGAAGGAGATTAAGAAAATATGCTTTATATTTAATGCTCCTGTGTATCATTGCTTCTGCAACATCATTCCGTATCCAGACTTCCTTTGTTTCATCCTCTCCAGAAATTATCTTGTTCTTAAACATCTATTAAAAGGTGACTCAGTTTTGTATGAGATAGTGATTTACCATAGAGCTGACTAATGGTAATTATGAAATCAGCCTATGTATTTGAAGGTATATTATTTTCTTAATGGCCTGATGACTCCACTGAAAGTCTGTTAAGATCCTGCAGTTTAGGATAATTCTTTGCATGAATGAAATGGAGCTGAGCATATTTTTCCATTATTTTGTGAATTATGTTGGTTTGACTTTAACAAATGGCAAGGCAGTTTCCCAAATCATTGGACCATCCCCAAAATTTCTGAACTCAGCTCACTGCCATTTATTTATTTTATTCATTTATTTTTCTGAGACAGGGTCTCACTGTCACCCTGGCTGTAGTGCAGTGAGATGATCATGGCTCACTGCAGCCTCAACCTCTAGCTATCCTCCTGCCATTAGCCTCCTGTGTAGCTGGGACCAGAGGCACCCACCACCACGTCTGGCTAAGTTTTACCCTTTTTTTTTGGTAGAGACAAGGGTCTTATCATATTGCCCAGCCTGGTCTTGAACTCCTGGCTCTAGTGATCCTCTTGGCTTCATCTCCCAAAGTGCTGGGATTATAGGTGTGAGCTACCGTGCCTGGCCCATACCATTTCTTCAATGATAGGGCTTCTCGCCCATGATTATCTGAGTTTATAGCTTGTTAGCTCCATGAAGGCAGGTAATATATTTGGTCAGCCTGTGTCTAATAGTTCTAATACATGTTAGAAGCTTCATATTGATTAGATGTATGACTAGAAAAAAATACTTGATTAGTATTCAGTAAGAACCTGTACCATCTGCTGAAGATCTTGAGGAACCTTTCCTCTGGAGAACTTCTATGATTTATCAGTCAATGATGATGGCATCCATGGAAATCTTTGCCATCAGACTCCATTCATTCATTAATTCATCCATCCATCCATCCATCCATCCATCCATCCATCCATCCATCCATCCGTCCGCTTCAGCAGTCCTGTAAAACATTTTGTGTGGTGGTGAGGTATTGGAGGGCTGAATGTGCGGCCTCTCTGGCATATCCAGATTCTTACCTTTAAGTGCTGTCTGTTCTTTTAGCCTTTAGTATGAATGTGCTCTTTGGACCACCAATGGTAATAGAGACTCAGAAGCAACTTGTTAAAAGTCATTTATCTAAACGGTGGTAGAGCTAAGAGTGACATCATATCTAGTTCAGCCAATTTCTGTGAGAAAAGTCTCCTTCTCAACTACATCACATGATCTTTCTTACGCACTTCCATTGTTTGCTTTAGAGAATCTACTGCTTATGTCCTTCAAAAGGTTATGTGGCATGTCCAGTATTTTTCACTTATTTGGCATCATTAAGGAACACCTGATTCTCATTCCTGCTGGATTATTATCAACTTTAAAATGAATCCACAGATATAGTAGGAAAATATCTTGCCTAGGAATTCCTTCTTAAAGCTTTGATTTTAGGGCATGAATTTTCTTTTCTATGTCTTCAAGTTATTTTAATTTCTAACTCTTGGACATTATTTTAGGACTTTCATGTTTTTGTTTTAATCACCAAGAGGAAGTAGTAGAAATCTTACTCAAAAGAGTCTCCAGGAAATATTAATTCTCATTTAAGAAAAGGGTTGTTTTTATACTCAACAGTACTAACTTTGTATCAGTGTTAAATTATACCTTATATTACTGAAGTCTGATGTTTCACCTCACTTTTCAAATAATTTTTCTGTATTTAGTTTGTTCATTCAGTGTTTATGTTTCTAAGATTACAAGTTATTTGTGCAGTGTTGACAGTTTTTACATTCATATGTTTGTTTTAATTTAAAATTTAAACAGAGGATGTCCTGTGCTATGAACCAGCCTGGAACAGTACTATTTTCATTCTGTGTGTGTGGGAAAGTTCTCAGAAAATGAACAGAACCTCAAGCCCTTATTGAGTTTTTACAGAATTGGCATTTCCAGAGTATTTTCCATGTACCAGAAACACCGGTCCGTGTGTATATACATATTCTTGACTCTTCAAACAGCCTGGCAGGAAGTTATTGATATTTGTATTTTATGAATGAAGAGTCTGAAACAAAGAGGGGAAATGACTTGTACAAGATCCTGTAGTAAATAAGGGGCAGAGCCAGGTCAAGCCCCTGTTCACTTGACCCTAAGACTCATGTTTCTTGTACAAAGCAGGCATAAGATAGGCTGAGAATGGCATGTGAATTTAAGAACCTCACATCCATGTTTATCATGTCCAGTTTATTTGATGGTAGATTTGGGGTTAAGACATGTGATGATCATAGAAATCCCTTGGCTTTCTAAATTTTTTTAAAACCACGAAAGCTGCACTTGGTCTTAAACCACGTTCACAATAATCGAAGGCTATAATGCATTGGGTGTTTGCCAATTCCTTACTATTGTTACTGTTATACAATCTAGATTGTTTAAAATGTTTCTTGGAAAAAAGACCCAATTCATCATTTCTTTAAGGATTTTCATTTAAAGGTTTTCTGAATGCTTCTGTCCTCTCAGCAAGGGAGAATAAGACTTCTTATCATTGCATTTCTAATATAGCTTTTTAAATTTTCCTGACCAGGCATCAGGTTCCCAGTATTTGGAGATCATTGCTTTGTACTCAGATAAAAGTTTACTTCCTGTTTATAGACCTTTGTCATCTGATTTAAAATCTAAGCCTATATCCCTAAGTATAAGACTGAACACACGTGGTGTGTGTGTAAGCCAGATATAACGTGAGATTTTTTTTGACAAAGCAGGCTGCATGGGACAGCATGGTCACACATTGGCTGGGAAAAGCAATCTCCTGTCCAAATGTTTCATTTTATTCCAATTGAATTGTTGACATGGCCAGCATTAATATTTTAGGATACTTGTTTATGAAGACTTGCCTTGTGTTTTGAATAGTATCTTATCTGTCTACAAGAGTCACATTGTGAATATTTAAAGGGGAAAATGTAGTAATAATAGCTACTCTTTTTTTGGACTCTACCATGTGCCTGGCATCTTACTAGATACTTTATATACTTCATTGTGAGCTCTTCTATAAATCCTGCAGGGTGTCTGTTTCCCCATTTTGCAGATAGCGATATGAAGTCTCAGAGAGGTGATTTAATTTGCCTAATATCATCTAGCTAGTGAAGTTGATAGTAATACATCTACTCAAGACCAACTGACTTCTAGGCCCTGGTTCTTTGTTATACATATTGTACATTGCTGTGATACCACAAAACTATAGAATTAATTGTCTCATATGTTTAGGAAGAAGTTTTTGACAATTAGTACCACTCTGGAGCATTGCATCTACTCTGCCACGACTACCTGTCTTCCAGTACTCTCTAATATTCTTTGTAATGTCTTCATTGCAACCAAGGAAAAAAAATAGATCTGGACCTTTTTTCTCATCCCTGGTTTCAAATGCTTTTTTTTTTCTTTTTAAGGCATTTCTGAAGTATCATGGCACTAATTCTCTTGTCATTGTATTTTTTACTTAAATTTTTTCATGTCCAGCTGGTTTTGTAGTTGAAGACAGGTGTGCTGGTTATAAGCACAGCCTAGATCAGCACTGTGCAATAGAACTTTCTTCAGTGATAGCACTGTTTTACATCTGGGCTATCCATACGATAGCCACATGATAGTCTTATATCTGGGTTATCCCATATGATAGCCACATGAGGCTATTGAGTGCTTGAAATGTGGTGTGTATAACTAAAAAACTGAGTTTTCAATTTTATTTTTGATTAATATAAATCAAAATAGCCACATAGAGCTAGTGGCTACTGTGTTGGACAACACAGTTTGGAACAGTAACTGATGATTGTGCTTGGTGAGTAATAATAGTATTTGAGGAAATCCAAATGCTGGTAGCTTAAAGATTGCTATTATGTTTTCCAGCACCGTTAAATCTGACACGTGTTCAGCTTCAAACCATATTATCATGGGATCAAGTAGATGAGAACAATTGATGTTTCAAAGCATTTTTTGACCATGCATGGCCTCATTTGATGAATCTTTCAGATATGGTATCATTTAGGACTTGTATTTGCTAATGGATCACAGAAGGGCAGAAGAGCAAAACCATTTACAGCTTCCTTGTGCAGGGTCTCCTCCTCCTATTGAAATGGACACCAGTCTGGCCTGTTGGTGCTCAGGTTGCAGCATGAGGACCTGGACAAGAATCCATGTACTGTTTCCCCTGCTCATTTGTTGAGATTGGAGAAGTCTCTCTCCCCTACTCACTTGGAATATTCATTAATTTTATTTTTTAGGTCTTAAGGAAGTAGAGGCAATTTCTAAATTTAGCCAGGGAGCTACACTAATTTGATAATCAATAAAGTGTAGCTTTTCTTTCTAATATTCTAGAATAAACCCTGGGGACTTTGATTTTAATTCTTTGTTTTGGAAAATACAATCCAGAACTCAGAAGTTTCCTGTATAACACTAGCCTGTAAATTGATATGTATCTTCTAAAGAAAATTCGGATATAATTAAATAATAGAGGTTATGTGATATTTTAGAAATTAATGTCCCTAGAGTTTCGATGTATTTTATTTTTTTCTTGTCTTTTGGAATTTTAAAAAGATACTGATTTTATTATGTGTCACTTGTGTTACTAAGCATATTTTCTCCTGACATTTTATTTATAAAATACTCTCCTTTCTACTAGAGTCTACAACTAATCAACTCAGGATGCTTTTGATATTTCTTACTGTGCCAAGGACATTGAATGAAGTTCCCTGTAGTGAGAAAAGCGAGCACATGGGACTCGTGACTTTATGTACTTCAACAATAGAGCTTTTATGACATTGGAGGTAAAAAAGCTAGAAGTAGCTCTTAAACATGGCATCTCTGTGTTGCCTTTTTTTTTTTGTATTCTCAGAGCTGCCAGGAGTGCATCGAGCCTGTAATTTCCTGTTCTCTGAATCCCCCATCTTTCTGCAGCTCCAAGCTTTGTGTCCCACAGCCCTGTGACTCTGTGCTAACAAATCTCTATTGTCCAGTGGGGCGAATGGTGGCTGGAACTAAAGAATTGCTGTCTGGTTTCTATTCAAATCCAGGTAGCGAGATATATGAATGGACTTTTCGAATCGTCATGTGAATAACGTCTGCTCGGCATGAAGGCTCAGAGCCACGCTAGGAAGGATTAACTCCTAGGCTGACCACTAACATCCTTTGTGGTACGAGGTAGCAATATTCCCAAGTATCATTTTATTCACATTTAATTTTCTATTTCATATCCCTGAAGTAGGGCTAGCTATTTAATTATTTGGCTCCTTTTCTCTTAATTCTTAGTGTTTCTGTTGAAAATGTGTATGTCTGGAAAAATGCCAAGTAGTTTTTCACTTAGAACACTGTTATTTTCTCTTTAAACTTTTCTACCTTATATTTATTATAGCATAAAGTTATCTTTATAGTATAGATGTAAAAAGTAAGAGAGAGTTTGTTTTTTCAAGAAACCAGCCCTTTAAAATACTTTCCAACTCATGAAGGGAAAAATCCTCCCTTTTTCCCCTGAGTGCATTCTACTTATTACTTTGCATTTTTCTCCCAAAGTCCAAATTTATGCAAAGAAAATAGAAACAAGTTCAAATGCAATGTATTAATCAAATAAAATAAGTCTCCTTTGAATTAGGAACCAACTTAAACATTTGTAAAGTATAGTATACTCAGGATTTTTTAAAAAAATTAGATTTGGAACCTGAACTATAATTCATAGTTCTCATTTATCTGTGGAAAATTATTTTATCTTTCTCCTGTATACCTGAAAAAATGTCCACAGGTTTAAAGGGCCATGCGTTTACATTCCTTCCACAGGTACTATGACATGAGGAGACTTTTAGGTTTCTTTTTGTCTTAAACTCAGACAGCTTTGTAAGCAGTAGTGTGTAGATTACAAGAGTTAGACAAAAGCAGGCGCGACTGAGAAGAGTTGGTGGGGGAGAAGCTTGGGGCACTTCCTGTCACTCAACACATTCCAGATCACTAAAAAATTTCCACACCCTCTGCATTCCCTCTTGCCCACTCCAGTTCCCGGTATTTTCTGATTCCATATGTCGTGGTATTTACCGTACTTCTCTCCCTCAGTGGGCTCTCGCAAGACTGCTTCAGAGGGGATGCATTCCTTTAGATTGCACAAAGCGGAGCTGGGAAAATGGCTGGCAGTTTCAGAATCTAGTCACGATCGCACGCATGAGCACCTCACACATCCATGTCCCTGCCTGCCCCCCCTCCTGCTCCTGCAGCTGGCTGACCTGTCTCACCCACTGCTGGCCTATCGAACGGCCAGGACTGTCTGGTTTTGGCTTGTGCCTTTGTCCATGTCTGGCTTAGTTCCTCTCTGTCTATGCTTGCCTCTACCCCCACTGCCCCAGGCGGCACAAGTGTTGGCCACACAAAACTATAGATAGAAAAGGTGGTAAAAACTTCAAACTTTTCTAGATTCTCCAACAGTTTATTTCTTGTGAATTCCTTCCTTCTTTAAATACTCCATTTTAAGAAAACAAATAAAAAAATTAGTTATCTAAAGGCAAAGAATGGAAAGCAACCTTTGTGTTCCTTATAATAACTGACTTCATAACTCTCCAGCTGCGTTATGGAATGTGTATAAAAAGCTTCTGTTCTGAGAACAAAGGAGCACGTGCAGAAATGAGACAAAAAAATCCACTGACAGTATTCCACTACACAAATTACTTAAAAGATTTTAGTCAAGCCCCTCAACAGATTCAATTTTAAAATGGTTTTTAGTTAAAAAAAAAATTGAAAGTGCTTACCCAGTAAAAGAACCGAAGTAGTCCTGAACTGTTACGTAAGACTTTTTACAGTTGGATCTTTGTCAAAAGGGGATGGGGGTGATGGGAGAAAGCAGCAACGACAGTCAAAAAAGTTCGAGCTGCTGTGGCTAGAGGACAACTTCTGTATTTCCAGATAGGATTCTTGCTGTAGAAATGGAACTTCCAGCCACACAGCATCCTGTCCCAGTAGAGAAATGAGTTTGTCAGTTAAAAAAAAAAAAAAAGATTAGATACTGGAACCCAAGCTAGACAAGGTATTGAACCGCGCCAGATTTCCTTGCAGCCCTGTCTGCTCAGCTCGCATTGAACTATATATGACCCAGATGATGGACAGAAGCACATTTAGTCATGTGCACACTGGAAGAAAGCGGATTTGCTGGTCCCTGGCAGTGCAGGGGTTTGTCTTCTGATTGGGCTGTGCCCTGATCGGTGAAATGTGAAGCCCTCACCATTCAGAGGCTGTAATTCAGGACTGGCAGTTTGAGTGTCTGGCTGCCTCTAGTCACTGAGAGAGACTTTGAAGGTGTTGCTTTTGTTTGGTGGCATTACCCACCCAGAGGTTGCTTACACCTCTCTACTTGTGTCAGGAGAAATGCTAGTCTTTCTGAAATGCAAATAGGCAGCTGACTTTGCCTGAATCCTAAATCAGCCTATTGTTGATGAACTTGGCTCTAACTGGAACCAATTATTTGATTTGAGAATTTATTGTGATCCAAACCAAGCATTGTATCCAGACCACCCCTTGATCTTGATTTTATAGGTTTTAAAAGGTAAAAATAAAAGTAGTATTTGCTTTGAAGCTTCTATGTGATATAAATTGCTCTTAATGAAAATTGGAGAGCTGGATAGCAGAGAAGTGAAGTTTTAGATTCTGAAGTGTTTGCACATACAAGGAAGAAGCTTTATCTCTTTTTATCCCCTTTGTGAGGCTGTCACTCTTGTCCCAGTCCTACTCACATTAGGGGACTGCTGGGGGGAAGCTCTGAAAGCGTGGACCCCACTGAGTTGTGACATAGCCTTTAATCATGCAAGACAGCCACGGTCTGCTGTCTTCAGTCTGTCTGAACTAGGGTCCTTGGGGTTTATTTTCCATCTTTCTGGGCCACTGGGAAACCCGGTCATTATACAGGACTGTCAGTTGTGACATTTTTGTTTAGTACATGGCAATTGCTTTGTTTATTGAATGCAAGTTGACACTTTTTTTAAGTTTCAAAACAGTAAAGTTGCTTTGTGAGACCTTGGCTCTGATATATATGAAATCTACTCTATATGGACCAATCATTTTTTTCCCATGGACTTTCTTGTCTCTTTAGAAATTAGTTTATAGAGTCCTAAATTGGTACTTTAAACATACGAATAGCTCTGTTTAGTTTCTGCCTTTTTTCTACTTGTTGAAATAATTCCATCTGTCTCTTGTGCTGTAAGCTTTGGGTTTGGATGTTCATGAACTTGGAATTTTTTAGGTGTTAACTACATTGTGCAGCATCTTCCACATGAGGACTGCCCCAGAATTATTCTGTTGTCTTAACCTGAGAAAAGCTGGTTTGGTACGCTAGTAGATATAAGGACATTCAGAGTTGAAGAGGAGATGAGCATTCTCTTGCTTTCTCTAAGCCACGGGGCAATCTTTTTTTTTCCTTTTAAGTTGTGGTAAAGTATATGTAACATAAAATTTACTGTTGTAGCCATTTTTAAATGTGTAGCTCTATTGCATTAAGTGCATTCACATCATTTTGCAGTCATTACCACCATCCATCCACCACAGAACTCTTCTCCTCTTGCAAAACTGAAATTTCGTACCTATTAAACACTAACTTCCCATTCTTCCCTCCCCCAGGCCCTGGCAACTACCATTCTACTTTCTGTCTCTTAAATTTTTGTTTGTTTTTGAGATGGAGTTTCACTCTTATTGCCCAAGCTGAAGTGCAGTGGTACTATCTTGGCTCACTGGAACCTCCACCTCCTGGGTTCAAGCAATTCTTCTGCCTCAGCCTCCTGAGTAGGTTGGACTACAGGTGCCCACCACCACACCCAGTTAATTTTTGTATTTTTAGTAGAGACAGGGTTTCACACGTTGGCCAGGCTGATCTCGAACTCCTGACCTCAAGTGATCCACCCACCTTGGCCTCCCAAAATGCTAGGATTACAGGTGTGAGCCACTGTGCCCGGCCTCTGTCTCTTTGATTTTTGACTACTCTAGATACTTCATATAAGTAGAAAAATACAAGATTTGTCCCTTTTTGGCAGGCTTATTTCACTTAGTATGGTGTCCTCAAGATTCATACTTGTAGCATGTCAGAATTTCCTTACTTTTTAAGGCTGAGTAATATACCACTGCGTGTGTATACCACTGTCTTAGTCCCTTTAGTGTTGCTGTAAGTGAATACTTGAGGCTGGGTAATTTATAAAGAAAAGAGGTTTATTTGGCTCACTGTTCTCCAAGCTGTACAAGAAGCATGGCATTCGCTTCTGGTGAGGACCTCAAGCTCTCTCCACTCATGACAGAAGGTGAAAGGGAGCTGGTGTATGTAGAGATCATGTGGTAAGAGAGGAGGAGGCAAGAGAGAGAAGAGGGAGATGCCAGACTCCTTTAAAATAACCACCTTTTGCAGGAACCAGTGAGCTGATGATCAGTGGGTTTGGAAACAAGATTTAGCTCAAGCATTGGCTCCAAATCAAATATAATATTCTTTCGTTTGGCATTAGGAACTGTACCCTTCTGATATTTCTCATGAACGGATGCTCAGAGGAAAGCTTGGCTTGCTGGTTACTTGGACTTTTTTTTAGGGACTTTAGCTGAACAACTTGCTGAACTCAGTTGACAAAGGCTCTTCTGTGGGTAAATTATTTTTTACATGTTATTTTGAAAGTTCAGTTAAATTCTAACATATATGATGTGGCCCTGGAATGGATGCATCAGTTTTCTTCGTTTATTTATTGTTTGTTTGGCAACTTTGTGTGTGTGTTTAAAAATGTATATATAAAAGCAACCAGCATCTGGGTATCAGAAAGAAAACAAAGGTTTTTATGGAGCTTACATTCTAATGAGGAGACAGAAAAATAAATTCTAAAAGTACCTATGAAGTGAAACGAAGCCACACTGTGAAGAAAATAAGGTAGTGTGTTGATGGAGAATGGCTGACTAGTGGGACGTGGTGAATTAGGAGACATCTTGAATGAGGAAGTGTCAGGCTTTGCCTCTCTGAAGAATTGAAGTGTGCAAGCTGAGAGCCAAGTGATGACATGAAGAACCTTGGCATACAAAGAGCCGGTAGAAGAATGATCTGGGTAATGGGAATATGAAATGCCAGAGCTCTCATGTGGGATTGAGCTTAGTGTACTTCGGGAGCCGAAAGGGTAGTATGGCTGAAATGGAGGGAATGCAAGTAGGGGTGATATTGGAGAGGTGGCATGGGGCTATCACATAGAACCTTGTAAGCTATAGTAAGACATTTGGATTTTTTCCAAGTGTATTTTTTCCCCAAATGGTAGGACGTTGGAAGGTTTTAAGCAGACTGGTAACTTGTTCTGCAGCCTGAAGACATCCTTCTATGCAATTCTTGTCTGTGTTTAGTCCTTTGAGGCCCGCTTGACACCATCTTTAACTGGGGTTCCTCCCAAGCTGGGAATCTAGCCAAGGTTTTCATGTGTCAGTGGCCAGCTCTGAGTGTCCTGGAAGAACGCTATTTCTTTTAGAACCATTTTGGTGCTAAAATTGGTTTCATTGCCCTTTCCACAATGGAGAAGGCTTGTTCAACAAGAGCTTCTTTCAGCACTTTCACATATCACTGTTGCCTGGGTAGGGTTTTGCAGCCTGATTCTCTGTATTAATTTAGGATAAAATTTAGTTATTAATTAGTCCTGATCTTTCTTTGTCAATAATTTAGAAGGGTATGTCCTTGGCAAATAATGTTGGCTGTTTGGTTAATAATATGTACTTAATACTTAAAGACATGCTTCTGGAAATCTGAAATTGACAAGTGAAGAGGAAATGTTTCACTATTCATAAATAAGATTATATTCAGCTATTTCTGACTCTAGTAGGGTTAATTGCTAACATTTGGCCTACATTATTTTATTTTTTCAATTTCTCAAAAACTCTGAAAGGTATAGGCCAGGCGCTGCGGCTCACGCCTATAATCCCAGTGTTTTGGGAGGCCAAGTGGGAAGGATTGCTTGAGGCCAGGAGTTTGAGACAAGCCTCAGCAACATGGTAAGACCCCCCCTCCCCCACCAGTCTCTACAAAAATAAATTCGCCTGGCGTGATGGTACATGCCTGTAGTTACAGCTACTTGTGAGGCTGAGGAGAGAGTATCACTTGAGTCCAGGCAAGGCTGCAGTGAGCTGTGATGATGCCAGCAGACTCCAGCATGGCGACAGAGATTCTGTCTCTTAAACAACAACAACAAAACAAATCTCTGACAAATACAGAAAATAACAGCATATATCTGACAGTCCCATTATATAGGCAAGTGACATCTAGTATTTTCTTCTTTTTTTGGACATACCTGACAGCAATAATTTAAATGAGAGACATCTAGTATCTTCATAGTAAAATATCATGTAGTATCATCTGATACTTTCCTTTTTTTAAACTTTAAAAAATGCTATTTGCAAGCTACTAAATTGACTTCAGCACCTACTTGAAGGGGTAGCCTGAACTTTGGAAGGCACAAAAGATGAGAAAACTGAGGCTCTATTGGTTAAGTGACTTGTCCAGAGGCAGAGCTGAGACTTGAATCAGAGCTTGATTCCAAAGCTCTTGCTCGTTCTGTGTTAAATAGATGCCCTATTAATGAAACTGAAGGAAAAAATCACAAATAACCTTTAATAATGATTATATAAAATGTAAATTTCCCGAAGCAGAGGCTGTAGAAAGGGGCAGAAATATTCTTCCTCTGATCATTGCCTCAGCATTTTTCAGAGTTGTTGACCATTTGGAGTTGTCGGGCCCTCTCTTGGGCAGAATACAACTGATGCTACTCATTAGTTATGCTGGGAATGGACAGGTTCCCAGAGTACTTAAATCTCATTACTCACCTAGCCCTGAGCTAGTCTTGGCTTTTTAAAGTAATAGCTGGGTGTGAGACCTAGCTTCTGCATTAGCATGTGGCCTCTCAAAAGTGTTCTGTAGCAGTGTGACCTGAAGTTTATGCTCAGATATTCGGAGGGCTATATCTAGAGTCTGGGTCCAGCCCTGGCATTTCTGGCCTGATCATGGTACTGAGTTAATTTTATGGAAAGAAGCAATGATGCCCCCTTTTTTTGTTCTTCTTGGAGAAGGCTATATCAAAGGGAAGGGAAG